TCAAAAGTGACATACCTTTTCGGCCCAAAACTATACCAGTGTAATTTCAAACTACATCTTTTGGTTTATGTGATGTCCACAAAATACACATGTTTAGAGACAAGAACATTTCAAGTCGACAATAAAACGATAATCTACGCAATAATTTCAAAAGAAGTATTTGAATGTGTTCGTTTGTAAAAGGATTCCATTGTAGCACAGTGCTGAAATTATGAATTTTCAGATAAACACTGCAGATTTCACTTCAACAGACAGAACAAATTAAGATGAGGTGAAAACAAGATAAATCGTTTCAAGCAACCTTTATTTTCAAATCGGTAAAATCATCTCTCACATGCAAGTTTGACACTAAATCATACTGCCGTGACTCTCATTCGTAGCGCACATTTTACTATCGGACTATGGCTCTATGAATTGTAATACTCCATACAATCAGTAAGGTTTGACTGAGAAACAAGCAAACACACTTTCGATTAAAGGAAACCTCTAACAGCAAATACATCTACACTCTATGCTTCTCAACAGCATCCAATTTCAGCATTCTTCAAGATTTGCCTACAGGAACAGGTTCACCTATCTTACACAACACATCAGAAGCTGGAAACCATATCTCATTATCACATTTAGAGTACTAAAAAACTGCTCTTTCTTCTCCAAAATTAGGCGGTTGGGTAGCCGAGTTGTTAAAGCGTTCCCTCGCTACGCCGAACGCCATGGTTCGATTCCCCACGTGGGTACAATGTGTGAATCCCATTTCTGGTGTCCCTCAAAGTGATAATGCTGGAATATTACTAAAAGCGGGGTAAAACCCGACTCACTCACTAACTCATTTCTCCAAAAAGGATATTTCCGCTTCATTATCCTCTCCATCTACTTGAAGCGCATTTGAAATGTACGTTACCATCTTACGTATTCTCATGTTTTACCCCAAATACTCTCTGGGTATCGGGAGTTACATTTATATGCTACATACAAACAATTACCCCAACATGTATAATTATGCAAGTATCATTAACTACTGAAAGCGGTTTCCAAAACTTAAATAGCCTAAAATCAATAGCTTTTATCAAATTTGTTTTATATTTGAATTCAAGGTGTAAAATAATAAACGCATCGATATATCTGCTTAATCCATTCTTCATACTAGTTAAATGTCATAATAATTTAATAATATTAATGGTTATAAAATTAATTGATGTTTACTTTAAATGTCCATGAATAACTTGATACTCTGGTGAAATGTACGTTACCCAGTGTTCTGCTCTACGCACATAATTTCAGTTCAATTTTCCGCCCATTATTTAACTAATGACATCACATTTATCAACTTACGTATGGTTCCACAATGCCCAATCCCGTAGGTCGCCATGTTCAAGGCGTTCACGGCACTGTACAAATGTTGATTAACTTGTTGCCATTCGATAAATCAGGGAGACTCTATAAGGGGGAGTGGTCACTCCTCGGAAAACCCCTAAGCTAGGCCTCGGCTTGTCACGTGACCAGTGTAGCCAATATGGCGGCAGCGTAGTTTTTATAAGATTGACCCGGTTTATTTTCAATAGCTGATTACATACGCTGAGTGTTGTGACAATTGAAAACCTACATGTAGAAGATAAGTTACCTATTCTGTCACTTCATTTTAAGTCAAATAATTGTTATTAGTGTCAGTATTAGTACAGTAGATTTGTAGTAAAGTTTCAAGTGGGCATGTTGTAGCTCACTGGCTTCAATTCTCAGTACACAGCGAAGAAAGACTAAATTCGATCGCTAAAGACTTCTTTCACATATTCGTTTAATTTTTAGAAGGGAAATATACCTTTAGTTCAAAGGTGTTTGCAAGTAATAGTGATAGTTAAATAACTAAAATTTTTTGGTTAGGGTGTATTTGAGATGTGTGAAATATATGACATATGGCCGATCTGCCATTGAAATACTACAGGGCGTTGTTTGAGTGTTTCTAGTTATTGTTCTAAAACATCTTTCACATACACCGTTAATTTTTATGAGGGAAATATACCATCATGTGAAAGGTGTTTGCAAGTAAAAGTGATAGTTTTATAATTTAATTTTTTTTGTTAGGGTGTATTTGAGGTGTGTGAAAAATATGACATACGCCATTGATGCTTGTGATGCTTGAGTGTTATATTTCTAAGACTTCTTTCTTTCTTGTTGATCATAGTATAAGATACATGTATCTGAATTAGTTACTAATGTAAAGAAATGTCTCAAAGTAGATTTTTTTTTAAAAGGACAGCTGATGTTAACACATGTGTTCTACCGATAGTTTTGCGTTCTTTAACATGTTTGGGGAGGGATGGCCGTGGTGTATCATTTATTCTTTCATTCATTCACATATGTTCTTTTTATTTTGTTCTTTATTTCTTTCATTCATTCACATATAATTCTTGCTCTTAATTCATTCATTCATTGTAAAATTCCGACTGATACAATACACTGGCTGAAGTACTGTTAAACGCAGCCGAAGTTGCGCTGGGAACGAACCAAGTCACTGTGTGCGCTGGAGCATGACGAGGCACACCCTAATTAATGGTAAAGAAAGCCAGCGAGTGACCTATCCCTGTCGTAGAGGTTCATTCTCACTTATCCACCACCCTTTAGTTTTGACAAGGGATTAGATGGGATTAGTTGACACGGGTTAGTGATTACACTGCTCACTCTGAAATTTGGTCCTGGTGGGTGACACTAATTAGCTGATTTGCCCTGTTACAGTGAACAGTGTTCGTGAACTTTAATTAAATTGTGTCGATTATGCTATTTGTGGTTTTTTTAATTCAGTGAACACTTTTCACTATTACACGATTATAAAATGGTACATGAGGTTCTTTAAGGTCAGTCACGATGGCTAACCAACAGGTTAATGTCCAGTTTATTCCTAATGGTAGAGGTGGTCAGTACTTAGTGTTCCAAAATCACAAGTTTGTAGTTAAAAGAAGACGAGGAACATCTGTCCATTGGAACTGCGCCCAGAAGAACTGCCATGCCACGGTTAACACCAAAGATAATATTCTCACGTCCTACAGAGACCAGCATAACCATGCATCTGTGGAGAATAGAATCGCTGTAGATTCTTTCTTGGCCAATCTTAAGGACCTTGTCCGAAAGATTCCAAACCAATTCCATCTCTTTATCAGGAGGAGTTATCAGGTAAATATTAACATAAATGCTTGGCAACTTTTAATTACTATTAAATACTAAAATACTACAACAGTTTTCTTTGAATTTAACATTGTGTTTCTCTGTTCTAGGTCTGAGTGATGAATCCTGACATCATTGCAGAAGTGCCCATCTTTGACAGTGTACGTCCTGCTCTATACCGCTCCCGAGCCAAAGACATCCCCCATCTGCCAGCAACTAGATCAGCAATACATCTTCCCGATGCATATACTAAGACGCATGCCAATGACAACTTCCTGCTGTTTTCTCACGGCGACCATGACAAGATCCTGACCTTCGCGACTGACGAGAACCTGCGACTTCTCTCCGAAGCAGATGTGTACTACTGTGACGGAACATTTGACAAGTGCCCCGGTGTGTTCACCCAGCTTTACACCATTCATGCATTTGTGCAAAATAAGATGTGCCCTTTGGTGTATGGTCTGCTCCCAGATAAAAAGCAGTCGACATATGAACGTTTCTTTGAAAATGTGAAGAATGTAGCGGCCTCTAAGAACATTGTATTGGATCCAGTGAGTGTGTTCACTGATTTTGAGTCAGCTGCTCAAAACGCCATCAAGATGACTTTTCAAAATGCCATATTAAAGGGTTGCTACTTTCACTTTAGCCAGAGTGTTTGGAGAAAAGTTCAGAAGCTTGGAATGGTAACTGAATATAAGGACAACCCGGACATAGGTCGTCTTGTAAGACGAGCGATTGCTTTGCCCCTGGTACCAGTGGACTGTGTGAGTGATGTGTGGTGGCAGGCCCTGGAAGATGCACCTCCTGGGGTGGAACAGTTTACAGACTATATGACATCGTACTGGGTGGAGGGTGACCATGGCAGGACCATGTGGAACCACTTCACCACCGAGGGCCCCCGCACTACTAATCATGTTGAGGGCTGGCACAGGAAGCTTTCCTGTTTAGAAAACCATCCCAATATCTTCAAGATTATTGAATTCTTGAAAAAAGAACAATCTTACGTAGAGGCATCATGTATGCAATTAAGAGGAGGTGCCAAACCTCCTCGCAAGAAAGTTAAATATGTCAATTTAACAAACAGATTATGTAACATCAAACAGCAATTCTTGGCTGGCCATATGGATGTATATGCATATTGGGATGCAGTATCCCATTTAACAGGCTATTGAGGATTGTCATAGATATTGAATGTATTGTTGAAATAAAAAAAAATGTAGAAAGACTTACTTTTTTACTACTACATTCAAGGGGGGATCTTATTTCACAAAATTTCAGGGACATCTATTGTCTTGAGGATTATTCCGCTTCAGTGACTTGTCCACCTAGAACAATAGGTGGTGGATAAACGAGATTATTCCGCTTCAGTGACTTGTCCACCTAGAACAATAGGTGGTGGATAAACGAGAAGACCCCGTTGTAGAGTATCCCTGGATAAATAAGTAACGGAAAATTGAACAGAAATTATTCAATTGTAGGTAAGATGATTCTTCACAAATGTGCAAAATTTGACGTGGATCTTACGAAAATTTAATTCATGAAAATTATTGATGCTACACTAAATTAACATGTTAGTCTATGGAAATTACGTCAAGTGTCCGAATACTTTTTGCACGACTCTAAGCTTCGAAAAAAAATTCCCGGTATATTCATTTCTTTAATGTTGCCATATATCTGGAATACTGCTGAGTGCGGCGATAAATAACAACCAATCATTTCCTTAATGATGTGAACGGAATATTGTGTACAGTGGTCATTGAAGATATATTGGGGCGATTTGACACCGATCTGTTTTGTCTGGGGCCAAAGCGAACAAAGGGAGGTAAGTACAGTGGTAATGCATACACCAACATCCGGCGGGAAACAGCTGAGTCGAACAGAAGATAGAAAGTGAGCCATTCTCATTGATGCCATCAAACTGAGGGATTGACAGGTGCTTTTAGTTACTCACATAAGTGTATAGGTGTATACTGTGTAGAATGCCACTGGTTGAAACTGCACGTGGTGTGTGACATTGTCTAACTAAGGCAAGAAATGTGTAGGGTTAGCCCAGTCACCAACCCATGCTTGTCGTACGAGGCGACTAACGGGATTGCTGTGGCTGCCGAACAAGTTATCGCCAATACATCAGTATCACGCTTCCAGTTCCAGTCCAATTACACATTCCGGTATTTTTTCCCACGGTATTTGACAGCAAAAGAACATTCTTCGCGGTAGGTAACATAAGCGAAAAAATAAAGCCATTTAGAATTTCTCATGCCATTCGTGAAATAATAGATCTATATCCCAACACGAGCTGAATTCGACGTTCTGGTGTTTTCGATGATTGCGTTGCTGGCGCTATATCGAAGGAGTACGTGCGCGATCGGTGAGCACAAGCAATTTCATCGGCAGGGCGGATGCCCAGTCACTGTCGTGAGAAGTTGTATTGACAATTGAAAACCGGAAGTTAAGTTGTTTAAAAAGCAAACAAGCATCAATATTATTTACCCGAGATCGTTAATACCACTTCAGATGTAAAATCCATTGCCTTTAGAACAAAAAATAGCAAGCAAAAATTCAGTAAGATCATTCGTCTGCTGGTGACAGGCAATATTTAAGTAGAAAGCCACGTTATCACAACACTCCCTCGCAGTGCGGAGCGAAAAGTATGGCTCATCGTCGAAAACACATACAAAATCCACGGATGTGGTGAACGGCAACAGTTTCGCCGATACGATGTCATGAACCATATTTTTGTAGGAAATACTTGATATTTTTGTGTGAAATAGATGAATATATCCTTTATCACCCAAGGTTAGTAAAACTTCAAATGATATTACAGATAAAAATTACGTTTTTGTCTTACATCGTCGAAAACTCCTGATACTGGGTTATATTTATGTCATACAGTAACCTCGAATAATTGATTGTGTGACTATTTGTCTGTTTCTTTTACAGTAGATTGATAGGGAATGAAACAGTTAATGACTTGTGAACTTGAACTTGCTATTACATAGGTCGTAGGACACCCCCCCCCCCCTGACTATGTTAATTTTTTTAATAGGGTTCATAACTTTATCTGTAATTTTCCTCTAATGTTACTTACCGTATTTTCTTTTGCTGTCCTTTATTGTTGTTATATACCGTGGGGAAAAGTACCGGAATTGTAATTGACCGGAACTGGCGATAACTATTACGCGGCGATTACTGTTTGCTAGCCAGTATAATTTTTGTTAACTTAGTCAAGGAGATGTCATGCGATCTATTTCCCGGTGTCAGGGGTTTTCGACGATGTAAGACAAAAACATAATTTTTAGCTGTAATATCATTTAAAGTTTATATTTAACTAACCTTGAGTGATAAAGGATATATTCATCTATTCCACACAAAAATATCAAGTGTTTCCTACAAAAATAGTGTTGATGACATCGTATCGGCGAAATAGTGGCCTCTCGTAACATCCAGGTAGTTTGTATGGGTTTTCAACGATGAGCAATACTTTTTGCTCCGCACTGCGAGGGAGTGTTGTGATCACGTGGCTTCCTATTTATATATTGCCTGTCATTAGCAGATGACTGATCTTACTGAATTTTCGCTTGCTAATTTTTGTAATAAAGGCAACTGATTTTGTATCTGAAGTAGTATTAACGATCTCGGGTAAATAATATTGATGTTTGTTTGATTTTTATATAACTTTAGTTCCCGATTTCCATTGTCAATAAAACTTCTCACGACAGCGACTGGGCACCCGCTCTACCAGTGAAACTGTTTGTGCACTCCGATCACACACGTACTCACCCGATATAGCACGAGCAATGCAATCGTCGAAATCACCAGAACGTCGAATTCAGCTTGTGTTGGGTTATAATAGCAAGTTCAAGTTCACGAAAGTCATTAATTGTTTAATCCTCTATCAATCTACTGTAAAAATCAACTAGTCACACAATCAATTATTCGAGGTTACTTTATTATTTCACGAATGACATTTACAGTTAGTTGTGAGAAAACACCTATTTGTATTGCCATGATTCCCTTCCGATGCGTTACACAAAAACACAATTGGCGGCATCGAACGGGCTGGACACACCGGTCAATAGCTAATTGAGTATCATAATTAATTCTGTTTCATTAACTTAACGAACAGAGTAATTTTGTGAATACTGCTAAAATATGGTGGTAACCGTTTGGCATCCAGTAGTGATTCAGGCACACTGAGTTGGTCGACAAATGTCATGGTATCCCAATGCTCATGTTGCTGATCACTGGAATGTGTGGTCAAGACTCGATTATTTACACTCCAAAGCAATATTGCTAGAATATTGCCGACTGTGATGTGAAAGTACTGAAGTAACTTGTCAACAAAGAATAGCTCAACAAACTCACAACAGGCCAAGATATAATACAGTGAGTCCTGCAAAATTGTTCTTAATTTATCATTAAGCTTGCTTTATGACCCGGATTCGGGGCGGATTAGGGACCTAAATAACAGTCCCCACAATTAAGTTACTATGAGAACAATGCTTTGTAATCCGGACTTGGCTGACAAAAATAACAGTCTGTTGAATAAACATCTCCATTACTACTTCTGTTCTCAGTGGTTAATTAATTCTATAAGCACACATTATTGAATGTTGTAAGATTAACTCAGTGTCAGTTTGAAGTCCTGTAAATGACAGATTACTTGCTTGTTTTACATTCACATTATAGGTAGGGCAGACAGCGAAACGTAGGAGGTCTGATTTGTCACTTGGTGACAAAGTGAAACGTTTTGATGTACCGGACAAAAGTTGACTAATCCAGACTGCTTTATAATCCAGACAAATGAGTCGGTCCCTGTCCAGCTTTAGTCGGCCTCTTATGACAAGCATGGGTTACTGAAGATCAATTCTAACCCAGATCTTCACTGGTTTCTAATTATCAAAAGTGACAGAAACTTGTTTGTAAGTATGAAAATACCCAACATATCTGGGTTTCTTCTTAAGACATACATTCTTCAAAGCAAGAAACTTATAGGTGATAGTGGTGGCCCGATTAATTGAAATAATCGAAGATTGGTCGCAGTGGCCAACGACCAAGCAATCGATCACATTTTCTCTTAATCGAACACGAACGATTTTGGAACCGCTGTAATAGAGTTTGAAATACTTGATGATAGAACATATCTAGGACGTTGTCAGGGCCTGAAAACATGTTGATTTCTAAGAAAACTCACTTCACTTTCTGAAAAGTCATGACTGAATCTGGGAAGTTTATGTTACACTGGAACTGAATCATTTTACACTGGATGTGAAATTTGCAAATGTAATTTGTGCAGTTTCAAAAAACAACAACAGAGAACCAAATGTTTTTTCTTTATACTTATCTGCAACTACAACCTGAATAGGAAAATCTAAACAATGGCGCGAACCAATTTTTTTTCGATGATTGGTCGTTGGTATTGAACCAATCATCAATTGTGAGATTTCAACCAATTCCCAACACTAGTACTGATTAAAGTGGTTAATGTGGTAACAAGAGGATATATATTGTTTAAGGCAAAAGAGCAACTTTAGAATTCAGCTCCACAACATCTCATGCTGCCTGTTTCTCCTCTGTGTCAGGCGTCGCTAAGACTAGCAATCAGTTTTGTGAGAATCTTTTGGACATTAACCCTCGACCTTCGGATTGTTAGCCCTACAGCTAACCAACTGAGCTACGTCCATATTGATTTTGTGTAAATTTATCTAGTCAGTCCACAGGTGTATGCAAATAAACAGAGAGGGTCGAATAGGTGACGGCCAGCTCATTCCAATGCCATTTGAAACACTCGTTAGTGTTCGCGGTTGGAAGAAAAACGCATAGCCCCCAAAATCTTGCATGTGCATGCACTGCGGGTGTATGCGAAGCCAGAAAGCAGCGAAGTCTCTCTGGAGGCCGGGCACCCTGTACAATTTTGAAATTTAGACGTCATTTCGTTGCATTTCAGAGCATGTTGTCATCATTCACAAGTCAAATTAGCAAAAAAATCTATTTTAATTTCCTTAGGGAAAATACGTTTTTCGGTTACTTGTTTCCCAGAACATAAAATGCTTGGCATGCGGAACACGCAGGTAGAAAATATCGGGCGTGAAATGTAGAAACATGCAGGTTTTTGCGTTACTGTGAGCACTGATGCGTCCCATTCTGTAATCTTCAAGATGTACTGAGTGGGTGTAGAATGGGCCGATATGAACTCAAAAGGGCTGTAGATGTTGAATTCATTGTATGATTGGAGTGATTTTGTGACAGAAAAGTGTTCTAGCAGGGATTTACATGGAGTCCTGTATTTGAGGGTCCCTGGGACTCATGCTCTTAATTTTCAGGGGTCCTGGACAACAAAATGGGGGTCACAGACTCTTAAATATTATTATTAATACTGGTTGTGGAGTGTGTATTGTGATCATCACATTGTTACAGTAATTAAATTGCAAATAATACCATAACCCATCAAGTAGCAAACTTAGTGATAACCTATTGTCACTTGATGGGAATTTGTACAAAAAGTATTTGGACTTTTTCTGAGTCCCTGTGGACTAGGGCTGCAACGAATACACTATGTGGCGAATATGATACGTATCATGAATATTTGGTAACGAATACAAATAATTATTCACGAATACTTTATTGTAGTTAAGTGATTGATGTACAAAATGGAACGCCCATGTTGACAGTGTTAATTTGTCACAGCAATAACCAGTGATTTCATGACACTCAAATTTGGTATGTAATAGTTATAATCGACAGTACCATGTGCAGTCTAGGCGAACTAACATGACTTGCACTACTGCAATGCTAGTACATGTTCCATTCTTGCATATCTCACTTTGGAAAAGGACATAAGGTTTCACGTAAAACATGCTCCCTTAAAAAAATCGTAAATATTCGTTAATATTTGGTTCTGGTGACCACAAATAACGAATTGAATTCATGAAGGGCTACGGTTCGATTCACCAAATATGCGAGTGAATCGTTACAGCCTTACTGTGGACGCTCTAATAAATTTGGTTGCGTCCATTGTAAATTTTTATGAGTATAGGACGCAGGACTTCGTGTCCTGTAAATCCCTGGTTCTAGGGAACACTGTATGGATAATGTGGATCACACGTAGGGAGGGAGAGTGAATGCGGGAGACAAATGTTAATGCTTGTAACAAGTCTTGTTACTGCCCAATTAAAACACACGATGACAGCTACAAGATGTTGAAGGATTTATTGTTACCTGCACCAGGTGCAACCTGTTGCTGAAGGTAACCTGCGCCAGTCGTTTCTAACATGCAGTAGTGCATGTTGTAAATAGTGAACTGGGCTCCAGATAAGGGCCGCATCGGCATATGTACGGATTAAATATATGCACGAAACAGTAGGAAACAATTTCGAAAACGTAGCGAGACGCACCACCGCCATGGTGTACGGTCTTAGAATCATTAACAGACGTATTTATCTTAAAAATTATTGTATTTATTCTCTTTCAGTGGCATTTAAATTAGAAGTAGTACATTGATGTCCAAGGTATTTTTATGGATTAAACTTCTTTATAATTTCCCTCACGGCATTTCGAGACCATTCGAGGTCCCTTCATCAGGTGAACTGACAGTTGGGACTATGACGTTCATATGACTATGAGATGATACGTTCACAACCATAGCCTAGCCCTCCCTGCAATGTAGTCTGTCTCAACTGAACCACGATATTTTCCCTTGTGCCTAGCCCTCCCTGCAATGTAGTCTGTCTCAACTGAACCACGATATTTTCCCTTCTGCCTCGCCCTCCCTGCAATGTAGTCTGTTTCACCTGAACCACGATATTTTCCCTTCTGCCTAGCCCTCCCTGCAATGTAGTCTGTCTCACCTGAACCACGTTATTTTCCCTTCTGCCTAGCCCTCCCTGCAATGTAGTCTGTCTCACCTGAACCACGTTATTTTCCCTTCTGCCTAGCCCTCCCTGCAATGTAGTCTGTCTCACCTGAACCAGGATATTTTCCCTTCTGCCTAACCCTCCCTGCAATGTAGTCTGTCTCACCTGAACCACTTTATTTTCCCTTCTGCCTAGCCCTCCCTGCAATGTAGTCCGTCTCAACTGAACCACGATATTTTCCCTTCTTCCTCGCCCTCCCTGCAATGTAGTCTGTTTCACCTGAACCACGATATTTTCCCTTCTGCCTAGCCCTCCCTGCAATGTAGTCTGTCTCACCTGAACCACGTTATTTTCCCTTCTGCCTAGCCCTCCCTGCAATGTAGTCTGTCTCAACTGAACCACGATATTTTCCCTTCTGCCTCAGCCCTCCTGCAATGTAGTCTGTTTCACCTGAACCACGATATTTTCCCTTCTGCCTAGCCCTCCTCCCTGCAATGTAGTCTGTCTCACCTGAACCACTTTATTTTCCCTTCTGCCTAGCCCTCCCTGCAATGTAGTCTGTCTCACCTGAACCACGTTATTTTCCCTTCTGCCTAGCCCTCCCTGCAATGTAGTCTGTCTCACCTGAACCACGATATTTTCCCTTCTGCCTAGCCCTCCCTGCAATGTAGTCTGTCTCACCTGAACCACGATATTTTCCCTTCTGCCTAACCCTCCTGCAATGTAGTCTGTCTCACCTGAACCACGTTATTTTTCCCTTCTGCCTAGCCCTCCCTGCAATGTAGTCTGTCTCACCTGAACCACACGATATTTTCCCTTCTGCCTAACCCTCCCTGCAATGTAGTCTGTCTCACCTGAACCACGTTATTTTCCCTTCTGCCTAGCCCTCCCTGCAATGTAGTCTGTCTCACCTGAACCACGATATTTTTCCCTTCTGCCTAACCCTCCCCTGCAATGTAGTCTGTCTCACCTGAACCACGTTATTTTCCCTTCTGCCTAGCCCTCCCTGCAATGTAGTCTGTCTCACCTGAACCACGTTATTTTCCCTTCTGCCTAGCCCTCCCTGCAATGTAGTCTGTCTCACCTGAACCACGATATTTTCCCTTCTGCCTCGCCCTCCCTGCAATGTAGTCTGTCTCACCTGAACCACGATATTTTCCCTTCTGCCTCGCCCTCCCTGCAATGTAGTCTGTCTCACCTGAACCACGTTATTTTCCCTTCTGCCTCGCCCTCCCTGCAATGTAGTCTGTCTCACCTGAACCACGTTATTTTCCCTTCTGCCTAGCCCTCCCTGCAATGTAGTCTGTCTCACCTGAACCAGGATATTTTCCCTTCTGCCTAACCCTCCCTGCAATGTAGTCTGTCTCACCTGAACCACGTTATTTTCCCTTCTGCCTAGCCCTCCCTGCAATGTAGTCTGTCTCACCTGAACCACGTTATTTTCCCTTCTGCCTAGCCCTCCCTGCAATGTAGTCTGTCTCACCTGAACCACGTTATTTTCCCTTCTGCCTAGCCCTCCCTGCAATGTAGTCTGTCTCACCTGAACCACGTTATTTTCCCTTCTGCCTAGCCCTCCCTGCAATGTAGTCTGTCTCACCTGAACCACGTTATTTTCCCTTCTGCCTAGCCCTCCCTGCAATGTAGTCTGTCTCACCTGAACCACGTTATTTTCCCTTCTGCCTAACCCTCCCTGCAATGTAGTCTGTCTCACCTAAAGCCCTTAATGTAGTCTAGATTTCCTCAGGTTCTGAATTTTCAATCTCACTGGTGCTCCTTTTCAATTTAAATGGGTTTATTATATATGTTCAGCAATGTCAAACACGTTTATGCACAAGAAGAATATACTTCTTAAAACATGGTTCATCATGGTAATGTGTAGCTGGAAAACTCAGGTGATTTTACCACGTTAAAGCAGGTGATTTTACCACGTTAAAGCATACAGGTTTTTTTCCAGAATGGCACGAACAAAATCTGGTAAGCCAGGAGGCTGGAAGTCAAATTCATCAGAGTGGGGGATGAAAAAGAAGAAGAAAAGAACCCAGAGGAAACCGAAACGGAAGAATCGTCTCTCTGGGAGGATGAAGAAGGTTGCTCCCCAGAGGCCCTGGCTACCATACATGTCCCAGCTTGACGTGGACTTCATCGCAGGGTTTGCCTATGGGAGTCACATTCATCCCCAGATCATAGACCTGGAGGACCTGGACATGTCGCCAGATGAGATGGATTATGAAGTTATGTTTGGGACCATCAGGACAGACATTGTTGGTATACAGTACTACAAGGGCACGGTAAGTGGCATGCAATATTATAGGTGGATGGTAGGTGGCGTACAGTACTACTGAGACATGGTTGGTGGTATACAGTACTACAGGGACATGGTAGATGGTGTACAGTACTACAGGGACATGGTGGGTGGTATACAGTACTACAGGGACATGGTAGGTGGTATACAGTACTACAGGGACATGGTAGGTGGTATACAGTACTACAGGGGCATGGTAGGTGGTATACAGTACTACAGGGGCATGGTAGGTGGTATACAGTACTACAGGGACATTCTAGGTGGTATACAGTACGGACAGGGTTCGAAATACACTACTATATAAATTCTGCACCAGTGCAGGTGAAAATTGCCTTGTGCAGCCTATATCTCTTACCAGACTGCACCAGGTACAGCTTGAAAAAAATCGTATTACATTCGAAGAATAACTTAAAAAATAGATTACTAAAACGTTTGAAACGTTAGCGATACGTAAACAGTGGTTTACTTCCGCATTGACAAAAATAGACTTGACCTAAATACGGGCTTCATTTGCATATTCATCATGACAATGAACCAATCACAAACGCTTTCTCGAGTTTTTCCTACGTCATTGTTGCTAACAGCCAATGAAAAGATTCAAAGGTCGTAACTTCATTGTCCTCGGATATTTCCGTGAGGACTCGTTTGCACTCGTTTTTAACTTCGGAAAAAAACGTTATCGCTTAGTAACGAAGTCTTCCGGCCTCATGTCAGCTGTCACACGTGTGTTCAACAGCGAAAATGTCTGGACCGGCGGGGCAATCAAAAAATCTTCAATTTCTTCGCTAAAAAGACACTTTCAGACAGAAAAGAAAGTGATGTTGATCAAGCAAGTGCTAGAAGAGCGAAACCTGCTTCAGGTGGACTTGATGACATAGAAGTGAAACCGAAACCAAGCACAAGTAGCGAGATTGCCGAGAAACGTACGAGTTCCGAAAAACTTGACACAGAACCAAAGGTAAAGAAATCTAAAACTTATTCGTTTCGAAATGAATGGAAAACAGGGCGGGACTGGTTAAAACATGATGACGATGAGAATGTAATATTCTGCTCAGTGTGTCAGAAATTCGACAAAAGTGGGAAATCGAATGCGTTTCGTGCAGGAACAAAATCTTATAGATTACAAGAAATAAAAATTCACGAAAAGAGTGAAATTCACAAACGATCTGAATGCAGTGAACTTGCTGAACTTTGTGCTAAAACCTCATCTACTAGAGCGAAGTTGCCACTTGAACAATCAATTTCGAAAATGCATGAACATCAAACTGATATGTTGAAGGTTTTATTCACAACTGCATATTGGTTAGCATTAAATGAAAAAACATACAGTGACTTTCCAAAGGTATTGGAATTGTTGTCAATTGCAGGAGTTGACAGTGTGGGCATGAACTATGCATCAGATAAACAGGCCAGGGAGTTCATCAAGTTTATTAATGAATGGACAATGAGTGAAATTGTTTCTGAACTGAAAAAAGCAGAGTTTTTTTCGGTGTTGTGCGACGGCAGTACAGACTGTAGTACAACTGAGCAGGAAATAATGTTCATCAGATATGTCCATGATGGTTTGCCGAAGTCAGTATTTGTGTGTTTGTCTAAAGTTACAAAGGCTGATGCCAGTCATATCAAAGATGCAATTGTGGAAATGATGCATGACAAGTTGGAGTTTGACTGTGATGAATGGAGATACAGCTTAGTGGGTGTGTGCTTTGATGGTGCTTCGACAATGATGGGTTGCAAAAGTGGAGTCGCAACACGTATAAAAACTTTTGTACCACATCTAGTTGCAATACACTGTTGCTCTCATAGATTAGAACTTTCAGTAAAGGATTCAGCAAAGTCAATCTCCTACATGTCAGTGATAGATGAAGTTCTGTACGATGTGCACAGTTTCTACAAATATTCAGCCAATAGATGGGAGGGGCTGAAGGCTGCTGCGGAGGCTTTGAACTGTAGTCTGTTGCGTCCAGTTCGTGTTTCTGGTTGTCGATGGGTGCCACATCATGCAAGGGCTATCAAAGCTGTTCACCAATCGTATGATGCAATCGTGACACACTTGGAAAATGAGGCAAGGGTTGGCAATGCTCACAATCAGGAAAAAGCAAGAGCCATTTTGAAAGTGATACAGTCTATCAAATTCATTATGTTTTGAACTTTTACTTGGTATTCCTAAACATGCTCTCAAAACTAAGTAAAGTCTTTCAGTCAGACAAGTCAGGCCTACACACTGTCCATGAAGCCATTGAAACAACATGTGCGGAAATGGAGAAGATGTCTGGGGATCACCTGAAAGATACCATGATGCAGGGTATTCATGTGACAGAGGTACCCAGTGATACCAAGAAGCTGTACCAATTCAATGGGCACTCCCTCAGCATACCTGAAAGGGCACCAAGCCGATCGAAGGTTAAGGAAAAACCTGAAACAGAAATTGCTAACGCTGTTTCTGATGGTGAGAAAGTTGTGGCAAATATGCAAGAAAACCTTGCCAAGCGTTTTGACATTAAAGATGCTGTCTCAGCAGGATCATCTGTACTGAATCCCAGATGAATGGCCAAGTGACCCAGATGTTCTCAGGACATATGGTGACAGTGAAGTAACAGAAATATTCACACATTTTCAAGCCCCCCTGACAAGAAAGGGATATTCTTTGGAAAATGTTCTTCTACAGTGGACTGGTGCTAAAAAGAAAATTCTGAAGATGAAAAGTGTTGAGGCAACATTATCGTTCCTTGCTGTATGGCAAAAGATGGCCCAGTTGCCAGAATATGGTGATCTTATGGCACTTGTGAGGATCATCATTACCCTCCCAGTCAATAGTGCCATCTGTGAGAGGGGGGATTCTCACTTATGAAGCGTGTTAAAACAGACTGGAGATCTAAACTAACGTCAGACAGTCTGACAGACTTGATGTCACTCAAGCTAAATGGTCCAGCTCTGAAAGACTTTAATGCTGATGGACCAGTAAGTCTTTGGTTAAGTAAAAGTAAAAGGTTCCCAAGACAGCCGTATGGGAAGAGAAAACCCCTACCTACTGACAGTGACTCTGCAGCATGGTCAAGTGATGATAGTGATGATGACTTGGATGACTGAGTGAGTAAATCTACTAATGCTAGTATGTAGCAATAATGTGACTTACCATACTAAGAGTTTCAAGACTAACAATGATACCATGATGCACTTAATAGACTATGATATTAGTGCATCAAAACATTTTCTCCTTTTCATGCTAAGTTGTTCAGCTTTCTTTCACATGAATAAAAACAAAACAAGTGTATTTAATAGTTATTTTTAATTATACAAACTCATAAAATGGAACACATTAACGTGACCACTGAGGGTGCAGTCTGAGTCTCTTTGGTGCAGTCTGGTATAAACACTCAACTGCACTTGGTGCAGGTACTGAAAAAAGACGAATTCGTACCCTGTAGATGGTATACAGTACTACAGGGACATGGTACGTGGTATTCAGTACTACAGGTACATGGTGGGTGGTATACAGTACTACTGGTAGATGGTATACAGTACTACAGGGACATGGTAGATGGTATACAGTACTACAGGGACATGGTAGGTTGTGTACTGTACTACAGGGACATGGTAGGTGGCGTACAGTACTACAGGGACATGGTAGGTGGTATTCAGTACTACAGGTACATGGTGGGTGGTATACAGTACTACTGGTAGATGGTATACAGTACTACAGGGACATGGTAGATGGTATACAGTACTACAGGGACATGGTAGGTGGTATACAGCACTACAGGGACATGGTGGATGGTATACAGTACTACAGGGACATGGTAGGTGGTATACAGTACTACAGGGACATGGTAGGTGGTATACAGCACTACAGGGACATGGTGGATGGTATACAGTACTACAGGGACATGGTGGATGGTATACAGTACTACAGGGACATGGTAGGTGGTATACAGTACTACAGGGACATGGTAGGTGGTATACAGTACTACATGGACATGGTAGATGGTATACAGTACTACAGGGACATGGTGGGTGGTATACAGCACTACAGGGACATGGTAGATGGTATACAGTACTACAGGGACATGGTAGGTGGTATACAGTACTACAGGGACATGGTGGGTGGTATACAGTACTACTGGTAGATGGTATACAGCACTACAGGGACATGGTAGATGGTATACAGTACTACAGGGACATGGTAGGTGGTACAGAGTACTACAGGGGCATGGTAGGTGGTATACAGTACTACAGGGACATGGTGGGTGGTATACAGTACTACAGTGACATGGTAGGTGGTATACAGCACTACAGGGACATGGTGGGGGCGTACAGTACAGGACTACAGGGACATGGTAGGTGGTATACAGTACTACAGGTACATGGTAGATGGTATACAGTACTACAGGGACATGGTAGGTGGTATACAGTACTACAGGGACATGGTGGGTGGTATACAGTACTACTGGTAGATGGTATACAGTACTACAGGGACATGGTGGATGGTATACAGCACTACAGGGACATGGTAGGTGGTATACAGTACTACAGGGACATGGTGGGTGGTATACAGTACTACAGTGACATGGTAGGTGGTATACAGCACTACAGGGACATGGTGGGTGGTATACAGTACTACAGGGACATGGTGGATGGTATACAGCACTACAGGGACATGGTAGGTGGTGTACAGTACTACAGGGACATGGTGGGTGGTATACAGTACTACAGGGACATGGTAGGTGGTATACAGTACTACAGGGACATGGTAGGTGGTATACAGCACTACAGGGACATGGTGGGTGGTATACAGCACTACAGGGACATGGTGGATGGTATACAGTACTACAGGGACATGGTGGGTGGTACAGAGTACTACAGGGACATGGTGGGTGGTATACAGTACTACAGGGACATGGTGGGTGGTATACAGCACTACAGGGACATGGTAGGTGGCGTACTGTACTACGGGGCAGTATTACCTTATTTTTCTTAGAGGTTTCTAACAATTATTATTTTATCCTTTTTGGAAACTTTCAAGGGATGTCTGTGTCTTAGCAGGTATAGATAAATATCCGTACACAATCTATTCACAATGTTATTGTTGTTTTGTCAATTTACTACTTTGCTACTTTGGGTTTTGCTCTCATAATTTCTATCACTCCTAATTAACTGTGCAGGTAAACAATGGTGAGATGGTGAGCCTTGAGCGAGAGCCACAAAATGTGTACGACCTCAACGCAATCCGAGTAACCAACCTGGACCGTGTGCAGGTCGGCCATCTGAAGAGAGAGGTGGCCAGAGCACTCGCCTTTGTCGTGGACAATAACTTGGCCAGGCTGGAAGGGTAAGACAGCAGAAGGTGTCATCACCTGCTCAGTAGCCTGTGTCTTGTTTGTGTTTCTGTTTGCATGTTATTTGGGGCGGTGGGATAGCCTAGTGGTTAAAGCGTTCACTCATCACGCCAAGGACCCAGGTTCGATTCCCCACATGGGTACAATATGTGAAGCCTGTTTCTGGTGTCCAATATTAAACACAATGTTTGCCCTTTTAGTGATTGATACTGCACGCTTTTTTCTGCTTACTGGCATGTGCATTTTGCTTTGCATGTTTCCTTGGTGACATTTTGGGGAATATTCCTTCAAATGCTTCTAAAACAAGGGAAATTGTTAATTTTGCCGCCTTTTGGCACTGAAGCTGCATCCATTCACACAAAGATGACGTTTCGGAGAGAAATAGTATATTTGTATTGTTTTTACCTCAGCTACATGACTCCAATATTCTCAAAATCACTTATACGTTTCTTGTTTTGAAGAGTGTATGTCTAAAGGAGAAACCCAGATATGTTGGGTTTTTTCATACTTACAAACAAGTTTCTGTCACCTGTGATAATTAGAAACCAGTGAAGATCTGGGTTAGAATTGATCTTCAGTAACCCATGCTTGTCATAAGAGGCAACTGACTGACTGAGTTTAGTTTTACGCCGCTTTTAGCAATATTCCAGCAATATCACGGCGGGGGACACCAGAAATGGGCTTAACACATTGTGCCCATGTGGGGAATCGAACCCGGGTATTTGGCGTGACGAACCAACGCTTTAACCACTAGGCTACCCCACCACCCCCATAAGAGGCAACTAAAGCAAGGCTCGATTTAAGATATGTTAACCTACTTGCACCAGGTGCAACCTATGATAAAAACCTAGTTGCACCAGCCAATTCCAGTTGCACTGCTTTTATTGCAATATGTAGATGCAATTATTTAGACATTTTATTCAGAAGTATATCACTCAACAATTGACTTGAACCTGGTGCAAGTTAGGCTAATAACTAGGTTACACTTTGTAATATTGGATTGCACTAAATCGAGCCCTGTAAAGGGATCAGGTGGTCAGGCTTGCTGACTTGGTTGAAACATGTCATCGTATCCCAATTGCGTAGATTTAGTGCTCATGCTATTGATCACTGAATTGTGTGGTCTAGACTCGAATATTTACAGGCTGTCGCCATATATCTGGGATATTGCTGAGTGCCACACAAAACTGAACTCACTCGCTCATTTGATAATTAGAATGTCACCCTTTACAGTGTGGTTCCTCATGGAGCAACAAACATGTACAAGATGACCGTCGACCTGACACTGTGGGGGCAACCAGAGAAAAAACAGCGGGCAGTGGACGTCCTGCGGTCACATGGACTGTTCATGAAGGTCACTTCAGGGGGCGTGGCAGCCAGCAAGTCCGGACCCAGCATGGCCGGAAACAGGATGGCCGGACCCAACATGGCCGGACCCAACATGGCCGGACCCAGCTACGACTACAGCCATGTGGTCACGCATCGACAGTTCCTGTCACCAGCAGAGGTAAGGGACAAACCATTTGTGTCCTAAGAGAGTGAGTGAGTGTAATTTTATGGCGCTTTTTCCAATATTCAAGCAATATCACGGCTTAGGGACACCAGAAATGGGCTTCACTGATAGTAACCATGTGTGGAATCGAACCTGGGTCGTCGGCGTGACAAGCTGAACTTGGCCTTGATATTGGCTAGTTGACACTCTTGATTCGAGAAGGTGGGAGTCCAGTCTTGCTATATTTCATTACTCCATGCTGCAGGTGAAGAACGAGCTGGACAAGCTGTTTGAGTCTCTCCACGAGGATGACAAGACAACCATGACATCCCCAGTACAGGTAGGTCGACCATGCGTGAGTGACTTTAGTTCATGCCATGAGTGAGCGAGTTTAGTTTTATGCCGTACTCAGCAGTATTCCAGACAATCCAGTGATCAACAGCATGAGCATTGATCTACACAGCTGGAATATGATGACATGTGTTAACCAAGTCAGCGAGCTTGACCACTCGATCCCGTTAGTTGCCTCTTACAACCAGCATGGGTTACTGAAGACCAGTTTTAACCCGGATCTTCACGGGCATGGTCGACTATGACATCCCATCAAATTATTTATATCATCACACACATTTGTGTGACAGCTGTTTTGTGATTGTCTGATTCGGACTGGCTGGTGCGGTTATTTGTTGTCACTTGACTATAATATTTAAGAATATGTAGAATAGAATGTTTGTATATAGAACTAGTTTTTTGTTTTTCCACGTGAGATAGGCAAAACAGAATATGTTCAAGCCATGCAGTAGCATAACTTGTTATTGAAGTCTGCCCCTCACAGCATTGTTAAAAGGCGATAGCATCATTCATGAATGAATCTTCTTATTCTTTACTGTTTATTTGTAAAACATTGCATTAAAGGACTCTAAATACTGACCTTTTGGCTCAACTGTCAATGAAAAAAGAGCAATGAACCTCACTCAACCTATTCTCAAGGCCATCAAGTCAGAGCTGTATCCCCATCAGAAGCAGGGACTGAACTGGCTCATCTCTCGGGAGAACGCCAACAACCTACCGCCATTCTGGGAGAAGCGGAAGAACGGCTACTTCAATAGTCTCACCGTGTCCACCTCCGGCAACCAGCCCAAGAGCATCAGAGGAGGTGATTGACCTATCGTAGTGTTATATCAATGACTGACTGACTGACTGAGTTTGGTTTTTACGCCGCTTTTAGCAATATTCCAGCAACATCACGGCAGGGGACACCAGAAATGGGCTTCACACATTGTGCCCGTGTGGGGATTTGAACCCAGGTCATCGGCATGACTAGCCAACGCTTTAACCATTAGGCTACCCCACTGCCCCCGTTATATCAATGAATGTATATCATAGTGTTACACAGTGTCCAAAATAGGTTACAAATTTTGCTAGCCAGTCGGGCTATCTATGCCCATTCAAGACATTGGCCCTCAAAATAATTCACTAGGCCAACATTTGAATGTAGAAACTAAGCAAAAGGTAAAATACCACCAAAAACAAATGCAAGAAAGCATGTCTGAATTTCTGAAATATTTTGTTTATGCTAAAAAAACTGAAATAAGTCATGATTAAGCTGCTAATATGATGAACATTTTCATCAGGCCTTAATCTGGCAAGATTTAGATGCTTATTGTAGCCTAACAAGTCAGAGAAAGTGATATATTTACAAAATAACGCCTTGAAAATTCACTAGCCAGTTGGTCCAGTGACTGGAGATTTACAGGCCCGACTGGATTTTTACTAGCCTCAGGCTAGTGGGCCAGTGGCTATTTCGCACACTGGTGTTATATCAATGAATGTCTATCATAAACAGTGTCTTTGGTTCAGTGTCAGATCAGGGTATCCAGGAATGGTAACTCACAGCTCATTAGCTCCAGCAGTATTTGTTACTGCCAGCAGTATTTGTTACTGTTTACTTAGTTTAGGTATTGTAAGGGAATTTCTAACTTTATTGCTATACCAGCCGATAATATTCTTTGTTATTTTCTTGATTGTGAATCTTAGCAGTTTACCATACTCGTTAATGCAAAAACAGATTTGCTGGCCTGTTGCTGTTGAAATATTTCCAAGTAGGTGAATTATGTTGAGAAATAATTTGATTCATGCTCTCCCTGTGTAGGTATTCTGGCTGATGACATGGGTCTGGGTAAGACTCTAGAGATCATCTCATTGATTCTAACCAACTTCGTCGACAAGCAGCCTCTAGCTCAACCAGTCCCAGGGAGAGTGCGTGCATCCAGACATACTAAGGTAAGGGGCAGATCTCAATGATGACCAATTAGTATATGTGACATTGTTGATTGTCATATCCCGACAGTGTACATCATTATCATTGATAACATAACACAGACCCATTAAGATCCTCGGTAGAATTGGTCTTCAGCAACCCATGCTTGTTGTAAGAAGCGGATCTGGTCGTCACACTCGCTGACTTGGTTGACACATGTCGTCATATCCCAAATGTGTAGACCAATGCTCATGATGTTGATCACTGGATTGTCTGGTCCAGACTTGCTTATTTACAGACCACCGCCATATAGCTGGAATATTGCTGAGTGTGGCGTAGAACTAAACTCACTCACTCACTCATTTGGCTTCCCCTACCCTGCCTGCTTTTAAAGATGAAACACTGACAGTCTGTTTAGGTCTGCAATTCCAATGGACATAATCTGCCTAGCAGGGCATATTTGGACAAGAATGACATTCAGTAGAACACGGATATAACGAACTCCAAGGGACCAAGAAATTTAGTTCGCTATATCCGGTGTTCGTTATTCACATTTGACCGCCATCTTGGATTGTAGAGATGTAGAGACACGTATATGCTGAGGCTACAAATCTTTATTCTTGTACATGTATATTGACATAACATTAAAATTCTGAATTTATCATTCACAGACATTAGCTAGAACATGTTTAACAATCACAACAAACTCAACAATATGTTGATTCGCCGCCAACAAGGTTGATGTATACCACTAAGTGGCTGAGCTGACACTGAGTGAGTTCGCTAATCACGTCGTTAATTGGGCTTGGGGGTAGTAAATCAGTTCGCTATAGCCGTTAATTCGCTACTCACGAGTTCGTTATTCGCGTATAATTCTAATGATATCATAAAGGATTGTTGACGGGACTTTTAAATTTGTTCGCTATATCCGTTTGTACGCTATATCCGTGTTCGCTATATACGTGTTCGCTATATCCGTGTTCGCTATATCCGTTTGTACGCTATATCCGTGTTCGCTATATCCGTTTGTACGCTATATCCGTGTTCGCTATATCCGTGTTCGCTATATCCGTTTGTACGCAATATCCGTGTTCGCTATATCCGTGTTCTACTGTATCTCTGACAAGTGTACTCATCAAATAATGTTACACAGTTAAAAATGCCAATTTTGATAACTGGAAAAAGTTAAACTGTGTATTACCGTATATAAGCCGATCTCATAGATAAGCCGAAACTATCCGTCAATATGCGAAAATGCTGTTGCATAACCATATTTGTGATTATAAATATTTTACATTTATAGAGCAAAACATGCAGTTAAAATGTCACAATGCTATAATATGTTCCTCTTGGTAAATACTAGTTTCAGATATTATATTTTTCTGATCACTGCATCAGAATTCATCTTGTTATATTATTGAGTATATTTTAATTGAATCACCGGTAGATTGCGGGGAAATGTGTGCACAGCTGATTGTTATTTCCGGCTCTATATACAATACAAATACACACAGTAATCTTAATCCCTGCATATAAGACAATGTCTAGCACACAAAAAATAGAACTGAAAGGGTAAATAATCTTGTTCAGTGATGTTTAACTGGAAATTTGATGTTTTCTGTTTCTCTGTTTGTTCACACAAAGCGATATGATGTTGTTTTCTTACCACCAGAAACAAAGGTTGACTAAACTGTTACCTATAGACAAGTTGCCTCTTTTCTACAGACTATTGTTGTTGGTCCTCAAAATTTGGCTTATCCATGGTAATATACGGTAATACAAAAACTCAGGAGAAGTTATACCTGGTACTAGTAGTCTACTGAATTGACTTGTTGACTAATAGCTAATGTGGACCAACCTCCTTCACCATGACCAGTGAAGATTCGGGTTAGAATTTGTCTTCAGTAACCCATGCTTGTTGTAAGAGCCGACTAACCTGATCGAGTGGTCAGGCTTGCTGACTTGGCTGACACATGTCATCGTATCTCTATTGTGTAGATCGATGTTCATGCTGTTGATCACTGGATTGTCTAGTCCGGATTCAGTTATTTACAGACTGCTGCCATATAGCTGGAATATTGCTGAGTGCGGCTTAAAACTAAACTCACTCACTCACTTGTATTCCAATTGTGTAGATCGATGCTCATGCTGTTGATCACTGGATTGTCTTGTCCAGATTCAGTTATTTACAGACTGCTGCCATATAGCTGGAATATTGCGGAGTGCGGCGTAAAACTAAACTCACTCACTCACTTGTATTCCAGTTGTGTAGATTGATGCTCGTGTTGTTGATCACTGAATTGTCTGGTCCAGACTTAAATTATTTACAGATTGCTGAGATATAGCTGTAATATTGCTGAGTGCAGCGTTAAACAACAATAACTCTGTCACCATGACTACCTGACACTTCACATGCAATATGTTTTTCTTCAGACTCACAAAAGGAAAAGAAAACAGTCTCTAACTGATGAAAAGCATCAGGCAACAGAGGAGACTGTTTGCCCATTTGAAAAAATCCGAGCCTTGGAGGCAGAGATTGAATCTCTGGATGACCAAAAAGGAAAACTCCCAGAGTGGAGAAGATGGGCCTTGCAATGTTAAAGAAGAGAAGGCCAAGCTTCCCTTCAGACTGCAGCTAAAACAGGACTCCAGTTTTGTGGAGGTTTCAGGGGAAGGAAGGTCATTCCAGGTGAAAACTGAGGACTGTGACAGCATGTCTAGAAGTGACAGCATGTCTAGAAGTGTTGATGACCAAAATGACCTTGACCTAGGGAAAGGCAAGTTTTTCCTCATGTTAAATACCTATTCCCCACTGTCTACAGTAAATGGAACAGAAACTCCCTATTTTGGTTGTTGATTAAGTCAAAATGTATGATCTAGTTTATGTGTGTTCCATTGAGACTGAAAAAAGAGAATAGAAATGCTTCTGAAACGTTACTCTTTCCTGAAGAGGCATTTAAAAGTTTTCTTGTGTTTTTGTTTGGTACATAGCTGGTTGTATGAGATTTATTGTCTCAGATGAGAAATTGATGTTTATCTCTCTCTTCCCCGAAGTGTATCTCTCACCAAGATGCCATATGTACAGAAACATGTGAACTGGTCCTGTTCATCAGATTTTCCACATTTTCCAATGTAACTAAGGAAGTTGTGTTAGAGGAGTGTTAAGAATCTTTTTCCTTGTCATCAAAGTTGGATCATTGGGCTAGTCATAAATGCTGTGCATGTTTAGATCTAGTACTTGTTTCACTTCTAATTATCAAGCATCTTGGCTTATATTTCCAGAGATTTACGATCTTGTTTTTATTTTTGCCATGTACATGGGTCTGTCTGTTTTGGCTTTCCAAGGGTTGTTCAGTCCTACACTTTGGGTCTGAATGCCATCCTCTATATCTCCAGGGCTCACATTTAGGTAAACCTATTTAACTCCTGGATACACTGCCGAGCTTACTGTAATCACAAATTACCCACCCCGGATCTTTTAAGTGTCTTTGATAACAGAAAAGAAACGTCATCTATATGCAACATGCAATGAGATGATTTTAATATTGTTAATGATTCAAATCTATTCTATCCATCAAGATGTGCAGTTTATACAAGTTACATTTATTTACAGATTTATTTGTACAGGGCACTCTATTTTTATGTGGGAAAATCCTGTATTTCTGTAGGACTTGCGGTAGAGAACTCCGATTCACTGAAGGAAGTTGATGCCAACTATCTACCTGAGGTGGATTTGGAAGTAAAGAGAGAGTCAGAGTCAGCCCGACCTAGGAGGTAAACGGACAAATGTTGTGGATTTATGGTCACATGAACAGTGTAATGACAAACGACAGATTGGTTGTAAGGATTTTGTGGAATAAGTGGTCTTTCTTAAGCTCTTTTGACTCGTGCTTAATTTTGTTTGTTTGTTGTTTAATCCTGCACTCAGCAGTGTTCTGCTATATGGTGGCGGTCTGTAAATATTCAAGTCTTGACCAGACAATGCAGTGATCAAGAGCATGAGCATCGATCAACACAATTGGGATACGATGAAGTGTCAACCAAGTCAGCGAGCCTGACAACACGATACTGTTAGTCGAGTTTACATGGGTTACTGAAGACCAATTCTAACCGGGATCTTCACTGGCAGACTTGAGCTTGAGTGATGATAAGGTGATTAATGTCTGTTGTTAGAATTTAATGATTGGCGGTTCAATTTGTTCATTCTGGTCACTTTAGGTGCACTAAGAGGCCTGCCAGGTATACATTCAGTGACACTGAAGAGGACGTAGCATGTGAGAAGGTCAACGAAGAGATGAGAGATCAGGGAACAGGTCAAGGTCGTGGGATAGGTCGTGGAAAGGGAGCCACATGGACAGGAGGGAAAGGAAAGGGGAAGAGTAAAGGGAAGTCACGGGAAGGCAGCTGTCCACCTCTACCCCGTCTGGACATAGATGAACTTCCAGACCTCTCATTCCAAAGTTGCACCCAAGACGGAGGAGCGTATGTTCACGAGGAGTCGGACACTGACTCAAGTAGGTTCCATCTCCACTGACTCAAGTAGGTTCCATCTCCACAGACTCAAGTAGGTTCCATCTCCACTGACTCAAGTAGGTTTCATCTCCACTGACTCAAGTAGGTTCCATCTCCACTGACTCAAGTAGGTTTCATCAAGTAGGTTCCATCTCCACAGACTCAAGTAGGTTCCATCTCCACTGACTCAAGTAGGTTCCATCTCCACTGACTCAAGTAGGTTTCATCTCCACTGACTCAAGTAGGTTCCATCTCCACTGACTCAAGTAGGTTCCATCTCTACTGACTCAAGTGGGTTCCATCTCCACTGACACAAGTAGGTTCCATCTCCACGACTCAAGTAGGTTTCATCTCCACTGACTCGAGTAGGTTCCATCTCCACTGACTCCAGTAGGTTCCATCTCCACTGACTCAAGTAGGTTCCATCTCCCACTGACTCTAGTAGGTTCCATCTCCACTGACTTCCACGACTCAAGTAGGTTCCATCTCTACTGACTCAAGTAGGTTCCATCTCCACTGACTCAAGTAGGTTCCATCTCCACTGACTCCAGTAGGTTCCATCTGATGTGCTATTATTCATAGTGTGCATACATTTGATGCACAAACGTGTGCGTGGGCATTTGTTCAGTCAGTTACTCTGCAACCACTTTCTTAAACTGGTTTCAGTTCATGAATAGAAAAACTGCACAAATAGCAACTGTTATTTACTAAAAACATGGGTAATAAATGCAGTACCATACTCATTCTCATTATATACTAATTTTACGAAACTTATGACATCCTGTCGTATCTGACCTAGCTTATGCTTTATCAAATACCATAGGAAGTTCAACCACTTTGTTAAACTGGTATTAAATGTAAACTCGATGCACGTAAGAATCTACATCGAAATATCATTGATGCTGTAAACCAGAAGATGTTTCACTGTTTACTCATCAAGTTATTTATCCAACAATAAACTTGCAAATCAAATATTTGACACTTCTGTTGTAGGTGATGATGGTATTACTGGTGACAATGAACTGTGTTGTAGGTGATGATGAACTGTTATAGGTGATAATGAACTGTTATAGGTGATGATGAACTGTCCTGTAGGTGATGAGGAACTGTGTTTTTAGGTGATGATGAACTGTGTTGTAGGTGATGATGAACTGTGTGTTCGAGGTGATGAACTGTCCTGTAGGTGATGAGGAACTGTCTTGTAGGTGATGATGAACTGTGTGTTCGAGGTGATGATGAACTGTTTTAGGTGATAATGAACTGTGTTCTAGGTGATGATTAACTGCCTTATAGGTGATGATGAGCTGTGTGTTCTAGGTGATGATGAACTGTGTTCTAGGTGATGATTAACTGCCTTATAGGTGATGATGAGCTGTGTGTTCAAGGTGATGATGAACTGTGTTATAGGTGATGATTAACTGTGTTGTAGGTGACGAACTGTGTGTTATAGGTGATGATGAACTGTGTGTTATAGGTGATGATGACTGTGTTGAAGGTGATGATGACTGTGTTGTAGGTGATGATGAACTGTGTTATAGGTGATAATGAACTGTGTTATAGGTGATGATGAACTGTGTTGTAGGTGATGATGACTGTGTTGTAGGTGATGATGACTGTGTTATAGGTGATGAACTGTTATAGGTGATGATGAACTGTGTTGTAGGTGATGATGACTGTGTTGTAGGTGATGATGACTGTGTTATAGGTGATGATGAACTGTGTTGTAGGTGATGATGACTGTTGTAGGTGATGATGACTGTGTTATAGGTGATGATGACTGTGTTATAGGTGATGATAAACTGTGTTATAGATGATGATGACTGTGTTGTAGGTGATGATGAATTGTTATAGGTGATGATGAACTGTGTTATAGGTGATGATGAACTGTGTTGTAGGTGATGATGACTGTGTTGTAGGTGATGATGAACTGTGTTATAGGTGATGATGAACTGTGTTATAGGTGATGATGAACTGTGTTATAGGTGATGATGAACTGTGTTGTAGGTGATGATGACTGTGTTGTAGGTGATGATGAACTGTGTTATAGGTGATGATGAACTGTGTTGTAGGTGATGATGACTGTGTTGTAGGTGATGATGAACTGTGTTATAGGTGATGATGAACTGTGTTATAGGTGATGATGAACTGTGTTGTAGGTGATGATGAACTTTTATAGGTGATGATGAACTGTGTTATAGGTGATGATGAACTGTGTTGTAGGTGATGATGAACTGTGTTATAGGTGATGATGAACTTTTATAGGTGATGATGAACTTTTATAGGTGATGATGAACTGTGTTTTAGGAGATGATGAACTGTGTTATAGGTGATGATGAACTGTGTTATAGGTGATGATGACTGTGTTGTAGGTGATGATGAACTGTGTTATAGGTGATGATGAACTGTGTTATAGGTGATGATGAACTTTTATAGGTGATGATGAACTGTGTTCTAGGTGATGATGAACTTTTATAGGTGATGATGAACTGTGTTGTAGGTGATGATGACTGTGTTGTAGGTGATGATGAACTGTGTTATAGGTGATGATGAACTTTTATAGGTGATGATGAACTGTGTTCTAGGTGATGATGAACTGTGTTATAGGTGATGATGAACTGTGTTATAGGTGATGATGAACTTTTATAGGTGATGATGAACTGTGTTCTAGGTGATGATGAACTTTTATAGGTGATGATGAACTGTGTTGTAGGTGATGATGAACTTTTGTAGGTGATTATGAACTGTGTTATAGGTGATGATGAACTTTTATAGGTGGTGATGAACTGTGTTATAGGTGATGATGAACTTTTATAGGTGATGATGAACTTTTATAGGTGATGATGAACTGTTTTAGGAGATGATGAACTTTTATAGGTGATGATGAACTGTGTTATAGGTGATGATGAACTTTTATAGGTGATGATGAACTGTGTTATAGGTGATGATGAACTTTTATAGGTGATGAACTGTTTTTTAGGTGATGATGAACTCCCAGATGTCCACGTTCCGTTCAAGTGGAATGAAGCAGGTAAGATAGATGTTGCCCATGTTTGTCCTGAAATGACTAAATACACATGGTACACATGATAAAGCGGGGAGGTCACAATTGATCTTCATAAGCCCATGAGTGTTGGAGTAGGCCAGTTTAAGTTATTCATAGGGCTGCGCAATATAACCGGTTTACCGGTATTTACCGGTTCAGACATGAAAACGATACGTATAGCGATACGCTGGTTGAAAACCGGTATTTTGACTTGCATTTGGAAATCTTCGGATATTTCCTTGTTTCATTTGTGCCAAATATTCTTCACATTTTTATTTTACCATGATTAAAAGTTGTTATTAAAGCTTAATCAAGCCTAGTGATTTTGTTGTGTTTTTGCTCTATAAATCAAGCATTAACTCGCTCATAAGTAGTATTTTGTTTAAAAATACTTCAGGCAATATATTGCAATACATATCGCAATACATGCTTTCCCATCGCAATATATTGCAATATGAAAATTCTCTGCAATACCCACCCCTAGTTATTCAGCACAAATTCAGACTTTGTTCCACAATACATTGTTTGAGTTTTATTCTCACTTGCCAGGTCTCAGCAACTGTGATCAGACCACAGGGAGGACTCACACAGATGGAGCTCGGGCAACTCTCATCATCTGCCCCCTGTCGGTGCTCAGTAACTGGCTGGTAAGTTAACTCTGATTTTCGGGCCCCTGTCAGTGCTCAGTAACTTGCTGGTAAGTTAACTCTGATTGTCTGCCCCCTGTCGGTGCTCAGTAACTGGCTGGTAGGTCAACTCTGATTGTCGGGCCCCTGTCAGTGCTCAGTAACTTGCTGGTAAGTTAACTCTGATTGTCTGCCCCCTGTCGGTGCTCAGTAACTGGCTGGTAAGTTAACTCTGATTGTCTGTACCCTGACGGTGCTCAGTAACTGGCTGGTATGTTGGCTCTGATTCTCTGGCCCCTGACGGTGCTCAGTAACTGGCTGGTATGTTAGCTCTGATTGTCTGGCCCCTGACGGTGCTCAGTAACTGGCTGGTATGTTAGCTCTGATTGTCTGGCCCCTGACGGTGCTCAGTAACTGGCTGGTATGTTGGCTCTGATTGTCTGGCCCCTGACGGTGCTCAGTAACTGGCTGGTATGTTAGCTCTGATTGTCTGGCCCCTGACGGTGCTCAGTAACTGGCTGGTATGTTAGCTCTGATTGTCTGGCCCCTGACGGTGCTCAGTAACTGGCTGGTATGTTAGCTCTGATTGTCTGGCCCCTGTTAAGCTCTCTGATTGTGCTCAGTCAACTGGCTGGTATGTTAGCTCTGATTGTCTGGCCCTGACGGTGCTCAGTAACTGGCTGGTATGTTAGTTTCTGATTGTCTGGCCCCTGTCGCATCAGTAACTGGCTGGTAGTTAACTGATTGTCTGCTGGTATGTTTACATATCGCTACAGTGGTTATTATTACAATAAACTTATCTACGTTTACATATCGCTACAGTGGTATTACAATAAACTTATCTACGTTTACATATCGCTACAGTGGTATTACAATAAACTTATCTACGCTTACATTACAGTGGTATTACATATCGCTACATATCGTGGTATTACAATAAACTTATCTACGTTTACATATCGCTATAGTGGTATTACAATAAACTTATCTACGTTTACATATCGCTACAGTGGTATTACAATAAACTTATCTATGTTTACATATCGCTACAGTGGTATTACAATAAACTTATCTATGTTTACATATCGCTACATGTGCTGGTATTACAATAAACTTATCTACTTTTACATATCGCTACAGTGGTATTACAATAAACTTATCTATGTTTACATATCGCTATAGTTGTATTACAATAAACTTATCTACGTTTACATATCGCTACAGTGGTGTTACAATAAACTTATCTATGTTTACATATCGCTATGGTTGTATTACAATAAACTTATCTATGTTTACATATCGCTACAGTGGTATTACAATAAACTTATCTCCGTTTACATATCGCTATGGTTGTATTACAATAAACTTATCTATGTTTACATATCGCTACAGTGGTATTACAATAAACTTATCTATGTTTACATATCGCTATACAGTGGTTGTATTACAATAAACTTATCTACGTTTACATATCGCTACAGTGGTATTACAATAAACTTATCTATGTGCGCTTACATATCGCTACAGTGGTATTACAATAAACTTATCTACGTTTACATATCGCTACAGTGGTAGTACAATAAACTTATCTACGTTTACATATCGCTATCGCAGTGGTATTACAATAAACTTATCTACGTTTACATATCGCTACAGTGGTATTACAATAAACTTATCTATGTTTACATATCGCTATAGTTGTATTACAATAAACTTATCTACGTTTACATATCGCTACAGTGGTATTACAATAAACTTATCTACGTTTACATATCGCTACAGTGGTATTACAATAAACTTATCTATGTTTACATATCGCTATAGTTGTATTACAATAAACTTATCTACGTTTACATATCGCTACAGTGGTATTACAATAAACTTATCTACGTTTACATATCGCTACAGTGGTATTACAATAAACTTATCTATGTTTACATATCGCTATAGTTGTATTACAATAAACTTATCTACGTTTACATATCGCTACAGTGGTATTACAATAAACTTATCTATGTTTACATATCGCTACAGTGGTATTACAATAAACTTATCTATGTTTACATATCGCTACAGTGGTATTACAATAAACTTATCTATGTTTACATATCGCTACAGTGGTATTATTACAATATCGCTACAGTATGTATAAACTTATTCTTTACATATCGCTACAGTGGTATTACAATAAACTTATCATATATCGCTACAGTGGTATTACAATAAACTTATCTAATAAACTTATCTACATATCGCTACAGTGGTATTACAATAAACTTATCTACGTTTACATATCGCTACAGTGGTATTACAATAAACTTATCTACGTTTACATATCGCTACAGTGGTATTACAATAAACTTATCTAGTGGTATTACAATAAACTTATCTACGTTTATATCGCTACAGTGGTATTACAATAAACTTATCTACGCTTACATATCGCTACAGTGGTATTACAATAAACTTATCTACATATCGCTTACATAAACTTATCGCATATCACAGTGGTATTACAATAAACTTATCTATGTTTACATATCGCTACAGTGGTATTACAATAAACTTATCTACGTTTACATATCGCTACAGTGGTATTACAATAAACTTATCTACGTTTACATATCGCTACAGTGGTATTACAATAAACTTATCTACGTTTACATATCGCTACAGTGGTATTACAATAAACTTATCTACGTTTACATATCGCTACAGTGGTATTACAATAAACTTATCTATGTTTACATATCGCTATAGTTGTATTACAATAAACTTATCTACGTTTACATATCGCTACAGTGGTATTACAATAAACTTATCTATAACATATCGCTACAGTGGTATTACATAAACTTATCTACGGCTGTTTACATATCGCTACATATCGCTTATTACAATAAACTTATATCGCGTTTACATATCAGTGGTATTACAATAAACTTATCTACTTTTACATATCGCTACAGTGGTATTACAATAAACTTATCTATGTTTACATATCGCTATAGTTGTATTACAATAAACTTATCTACGTTTACATATCGCTACAGTGGTATTACAATAAACTTATCTACGCTACATATCGCTACAGTGGTATTACAATAAACTTATCTATGTTTACATATCGCTATAGTTGTATTACAATAAACTTATCTACGTTTACATATCGCTACAGTGGTGTTACAATAAACTTATCTATGTTTACATATCGCTATGGTTGTATTACAATAAACTTATCTATGTTTACATATCGCTACAGTGGTATTACAATAAACTTATCTCCGTTTACATATCGCTATGGTTGTATTACAATAAACTTATCTATGTTTATGTTTACATATCGCTACAGTGGTATTACAATAAACTTATCTATGTTTACATATCGCTATGGTTGTATTACAATAAACTTATCTACGTTTACATATCGCTACATGGTATTACAATAAACTTATCTACGTAGTGTGTATTACAATAAACTTATCTACGTTTACATATCGCTACAGTGGTATTACAATAAACTAAACTTATCTACGTTTAAACATATCGCTACATATCGTGGTATTACAATAAACTTATCTATGTTTACATATCGCTACAGCTAAACTTTTACATATCGCTATAGTTGTATTACAATAAACTTATCTACGTTTACATATCGCTACAGTGGTATTACAATACACATATCGCTACAGTGGTATTACAATAAACTTATCTATGTTTACTATCGCTATCAATAAACTTATCTACGTTTACATATCGCTACAGTGGTATTACAATAAACTTATCTATGCTTTACATAAACTTATCGTTTACATATCGCTATAGTTGTATTACAATAAACTTATCTACGTTTACATATCGCTACAGTGGTATTACAATAAACTTATCTATGTTTACATATCGCTATGGTTGTATTACAATAAACTTATCTATGTTTACATATCGCTACAGTGGTATTACAATAAACTTATCTCCGTTTACATATCGCTATGGTTGTATTACAATAAACTTATCTATGTTTACATATCGCTACAGTGGTATTACAATAAACTTATCTATGTTTACATATCGCTATGGTTGTATTACAATAAACTTATCTACGTTTACATATCGCTACAGTGGTATTACAATAAACTTATCTACGTTTACATATCGCTACAGTGGTATTACAATAAACTTATCTATGTTTACATATCGCTATAGTTGTATTACAATAAACTTATCTACGTTTACATATCGCTACAGTGGTATTACAATAAACTTATCTACTTTTACATATCGCTATAGTTGTATTACAATAAACTTATCTACGTTTACATATCGCTACAGTGGTATTACAATAAACTTATCTATGTTTACATATCGCTATAGTTGTATTACAATAAACTTATCTACGTTTACATATCGCTACAGTTGTATTACAATAAACTTATCTACGTTTACATATCGCTACAGTGGTATTACAATAAACTTATCTATGTTTACATATCGCTATAGTTGTATGACAATAAACTTATCTACGTTTACATATCGCTACAGTGGTATTACAATAAACTTATCTACGTTTACATATCGCTACAGTGGTATTACAATAAACTTATCTCCGTTTACATATCGCTACAGTGGTATTACAATAAACTTATCTACGTTTACATATCGCTACAGTTGTATTACAATAAACTTATCTACGTTTACATATCGCTACAGTGGTATTACAATAAACTTATCTCCGTTTACATATCGCTACAGTGGTATTACAATAAACTTATCTACGTTTACATATCGCTACAGTGGTATTACAATAAACTTATCTATGTTTACATATCGCTACAGTGGTATTACAATAAACTTATCTATGTTTACATATCGCTATAGTTGTATGACAATAAACTTATCTACGTTTACATATCGCTACAGTGGTATTACAATAAACTTATCTATGTTTACATATCGCTATAGTTGTATGACAATAAACTTATCTACGTTTACATATCGCTACAGTGGTATTACAATAAACTTATCTATGTTTACATATCGCTATAGTTGTATGACAATAAACTTATCTACGTTTACATATCGCTACTGTGGTATTACAATAAACTTATCTATGTTTACATATCGCTACAGTTGTATTACAATAAACTTATCTACATTTACATATCGCTACAGTGGTATTACAATAAACTTATCTACGTTTACATATCGCTACAGTGGTATTACAATAAACTTATCTACGTTTACATATCGCTACAGTGGTATTACAATAAACTTATCTACGTTTACATATCGCTACAGTGGTATTACAATAAACTTATCTATGTTTACATATCGCTACAGTGGTATTACAATAAACTTATCTACGTTTACATATCGCTATAGTTGTATGACAATAAACTTATCTACGTTTACATATCGCTACAGTGGTATTACAATAAACTTATCTATGTTTACATATCGCTATAGTTGTATGACAATAAACTTATCTACGTTTACATATCGCTACAGTGGTATTACAATAAACTTATCTATGTTTACATATCGCTATAGTTGTATTACAATAAACTTATCTATGTTTACATATCGCTACAGTGGTATTAGAATAAACTTATCTACGTTTACATATCGCTACAGTTGTATTACAATAAACTTATCTATGTTTACATATCGCTACAGTGGTATTACAATAAACTTATCTACGTTTACATATCGCTACAGTTGTAGTACAATAAACTTATCTACGTTTACATATCGCTACAGTGGTATTACAATAAACTTATCTTTGTTTACATATCGCTACAGTGGTATTACAATAAACTTATCTCCGTTTACATATCGCTACAGTGGTATTACAATAAACTTATCTATGTTTACATATCACTACAGTGGTATTACAATAAACTTATCTATGTTTACATATCGCTACAGTGGTATTACAATAAACTTATCTACGTTTACATATCGCTACAGTGGTATTACAATAAACTTATCTATGTTTACATATCGCTACAGTGGTAGTACAATAAACTTATCTATGTTTACATATCGCTACAGTGGTATTACAATAAACTTATCTACGTTTACATATCGCTACAGTGGTATTACAATAAACTTATCTCCGTTTACATATCGCTACAGTGGTATTACAATAAACTTATCTACGTTTACATATCGCTACAGTGGTATTACAATAAACTTATCTACGTTTACATATCGCTACAGTGGTATTACAATAAACTTATCTACGTTTACATATCGCTACAGTGGTAGTACAATAAACTTATCTACGTTTACATATCGCTACAGTGGTAGTACAATAAACTTATCTATGTTTACATATCGCTACAGTGGTAGTACAATAAACTTATCTACATTACATATCGCTACAGTGGTAGTACAATAAACTTATCTACGTTTACATATCGCTACAGTGGTATTACAATAAACTTATGTGCGTTTACATATCGCTACAGTGGTATTACAATAAACTTATCTACGTTTACATATCGCTACAGTGGTATTACAATAAACTTATCTACGTTTACATATCGCTACAGTGGTAGTACAATAAACTTATCTACGTTTACATATCGCTACAGTGGTAGTACAATAAACTTATCTACGTTTACATATCGCTACAGTGGTATTACAATAAACTTATCTACGTTTACATATCGCTACAGTGGTATTACAATAAACTTATCTACGTTTACATATCGCTACAGTGGTATACAATAAACTTATCTATCGCTATATATCGCTACAGTGGTATTACGCTACATATCGCTACAGTGGTATTACAATAAACTTATCTACGTTTACATATCGCTACAGTGGTATTACAATAAACTTATCTACGCTACATATCGCTACAGTGGTATTACAATAAACTTATCTACGTTTACATATCGCTACAGTGGTATTACAATAAACTTATCTATGTTTACATATCGCTACAGTGGTATTACAATAAACTTATCTACGTTTACATATCGCTACAGTTGTATTACAATAAACTTATCTACGTTTACATATCGCTACAGTGGTATTACAATAAACTTATCTACGTTTACATATCGCTACAGTGGTATTACAATAAACTTATCTATGTTTACATATCGCTATAGTTGTATTACAATAAACTTATCTACGTTTACATATCGCTACAGTACAGGTATTACAATAAACTTATCTACGTTTACATATCGCTACAGTGGTATTACAATAAACTTATCTACGTTTACATATCGCTACAGTGGTATTACAATAAACTTATCTACGTTTACATATCGCTACAGTGGTATTACAATAAACTTATCTATGTTTACATATCGCTATGGTTGTATTACAATAAACTTATCTACGTTTACATATCGCTACAGTGGTATTACAATAAACTTACTTATCTACGCTTTACATATCGCTACAGTGGTATTACAATAAACTTATCTAGTATCGCTACAGTGGTATTACAATAAACTTATCTACGTTTACATATCGCTACAGTGGTATTACAATAAACTTATCTACGTTTACATATCGCTACAGTGGTAGTACAATAAACTTATCTATCTATGTTTACATATCGCTACAGTGGTATTACAATAAACTTATCTACGCTTACATATCGCTACAGTGGTATTACAATAAACTTATCTACGCTTACATATCGCTACAGTGGTATTACAATAAACTTATCTACGCTTACATATCGCTACAGTGGTATTACAATAAACTTATCTACGCTTTACATATCGCTACAGTGGTATTACAATAAACTTATCTACGCTTACATATCGCTACAGTGGTATTACAATAAACTTATCTACGCTTTACATATCGCTATAGTTCTATTACAATAAACTTATCTACGTTTACAGATCGCTATAGTTGTATGACAATAAACTTATCTACGTTTACATATCGCTACAGTGGTAGGTCAATAAACTTATCTACGTTTACATATCGCTACAGTGGTATTACAATAAACTTATCTACGTTTACATATCGCTACAGTGGTATTACAATAAACTTATCTACGTTTACATATCGCTATAGTTGTATTACAATAAACTTATCTACGTTTACATATCGCTACAGTGGTATTACAATAAACTTATCTACGTTTACATATCGCTACAGTGGTATTACAATAAACTTATCTACGTTTACATATCGCTATAGTTGTATTACAATAAACTTATCTACGTTTACATATCGCTATAGTTGTATTACAATAAACTTATCTACGTTTACATATCGCTATAGTTGTATTACAATAAACTTATCTACGTTTACATATCGCTATGGTTGTATTACAATAAACTTATCTACGGTTACATATCGCTACAGTGGTATTACAATAAACTTATCTACGTTTACATATCGCTACAGTGGTATTACAATAAACTTATCTACGTTTACATATCGCTACAGTGGTATTACAATAAACTTATCTACGTTTACATATCGCTATAGTTGTATTACAATAAACTTATCTACGTTTACATATCGCTATAGTTGTATTACAATAAACTTATCTACGTTTACATATCGCTATAGTTGTATTACAATAAACTTATCTACGTTTACATATCGCTATAGTTGTATTACAATAAACTTATCTACGTTTACATATCGCTATAGTGGTATTACAATAAACTTATCTACGTTTACATATCGCTACAGTGGTATTACAATAAACTTATCTACGTTTACATATCGCTATAGTTGTATTACAATAAACTTATCTACGTTTACATATCGCTACAGTGGTATTACAATAAACTTATCTACGCTTACATATCATAGTCAATAAACTTATCTACTATTACAGTTGTATTTACAATAAACTTATCTATGCTGCATTACATATCGCTACAGTGGTATTACAATAAACTTATCTAACAATCTGACAGCTCTTACATATCGCTATATTGTTTGCTTATCAAACTGATTTTATTGAACTGAATTCTGAGGGTCACCCATACAATAGGTCTTCCTGTAATGTGGAATTACCTAGGCAAGAGTTTGCTCCACTGATGTACATGATAAAAGCTTCCAAAACAAAACAGAAAGGTGCTCCAGTTCTCTGAACACTAGTACACACTCAACACTACAAACACTCTTAACATAATATCACTTAAGAACCAGAGGTGATGCTGAAGACACATGTTTGATTTCCAACATGGGGGATATTGCTGGAATATCCCTCAAGATGGTGTAAAACTCAACTTCACACTCACTCACTCACTCTAGCTCTCCAGACTACTACAGATGACTCACTGGGATAAAACTGAGCCCAACTCATTCACTCACTCACTCACTCACTCACTCTAGCTCTCCAGACTAATACAGATGACTCACTGGGATAAAACTGAGCCCAACTCACTCACTCACTCACTCACTCTAGCTCTCCAGACTAATACAGATGACTCACTGGGATAACAGTGAGCCCAACTCGTTCACTCACTCACTCACCCACTCACTCTAGCTCTCCAGACTACTACAGATGACTCACTGGGATAAAACTGATCCCAACTCACTCACTCACTCACTCACGCACTCACTCTAGCTCTCCAGACTAATACAGATGACTCACTGGGATAAAACTGAGCCCAGCTCACTCACTCACTCACTCTAGCTCTCCAGACTACTACAGATGACTCACTGGGATAAAACTGAGCCCAACTCACTCACTCACTCACTCACGCACTCACTCTAGCTCTCCAGACTAATACAGATGACTCACTAGGATAACACTGAGCCCAACTCACTCACTCACTCACTCACTCACTCACTCACTCACTCACTCACCCACCCACTCTAGCTCACTCACTCACTCACTCACTCACTCACCCACCACCCACTCTAGCTCTCCAGACTAAAACAGATGACTCACTGGGATAACACTGAGCCCAACTCACTCACGGACTCTGTTTTGTCCAGGACCAGTTTGAGGAGCACCTACATGACTGTGTGCACCTGGAGATTTACACCTACTATGGAGGAAGTCGCACCAAGGACGTAGGCATCCTGGCACATCAGGATGTTGTGCTGACCACATATTCCACTCTTGCTGCTGATGCCAAGGTGAGGAGCCTCCCACTCAGATGGAGATTGTCACAGTGTCTACATAATTTTTTGATGTATGAATAGTTGGTGTGAATAGATAGATGTATGTGGAGGCGTCACCCATTTTGATGGGGACGGCTAATGGGTTAGAATAATTGTTCGATGTATGAAGAGTTGGTGTGAATAGGTGTAGGTGGGGCTGGCTGAAAGGATCGATAATCAGATTCCCTACTTAGTCAAACATCAGCAATAGAAAGCCTTGAACCTGACATGTATTTCAGACAAAAGATCGTCCGTTACACAAGGTGGACTGGCTGAGGGTGGTGCTGGACGAAGGGCATGTCATCCGGAACCCCAAGGCCCAACAGACCAAGGCTGTGATGGAACTCAAGACCCAGCGGAGATGGGTTCTGACAGGTAAGTGGAAGATCTGACGCACACTGAAAGACAACAGACCAAGGCCGTGATGGAACTCAAGGCCCAGCAGAGATGGGTTCTGACAGGTAAGTGGAAGATCTGACGCACACTGAAAGACAACAGACCAAGGCCGTGATGGAGCTCAAGGCCCAGCAGAGATGGGTTCTGACAGGTAAGTGGAAGATCTGACGCACACTGAAAGACAACAGACCAAGGCCGTGATGGAGCTCAAGGCCCAGCAGAGATGGGTTCTGACAGGTAAGTGGAAGATCTGACGCACACTGAAAGACAACAGACCAAGGCCGTGATGGAACTCAAGGCCCAGCAGAGATGGGTTCTGACAGGTAAGTGGAAGATCTGGCGACACTGAAAGACAACAGACCAAGGCCGTGATGGAACTCAAGGCCCAGCAGAGATGGGTTCTGACAGGTAAGTGGAAGATCTGACGCACACTGAAAGACAACAGACCAAGGCCATGATGGAACTCAAGGCCCAGCAGAGATGGGTTCTGACAGGTAAGTGGAAGATCTGACGCACACTGAAAGACAACAGACCAAGGCCGTGATGGAACTCAAGGCCCAGCAGAGATGGGTTCTGACAGGTAAGTGGAAGATCTGACGCACACTGAAAGACAACAGACCAAGGCCGTGATGGAACTCAAGGCCCAGCAGAGATGGGTTCTGACAGGTAAGTGGAAGATCTGACGCACACTGAAAGACAACAGACCAAGGCTGTGATGAAACTCAAGGCTAAGCGGAGATGGGTTCTGACAGGTAAGTGGAAGAGATGACACACACAGAAAGACAACAGACCAAGGCCGTGATGAAACTCAAGGCCCAGCAGAGATGGGTTCTGACAGGTAAGTGGAAGATCTGACACACACTGAAAGACAACAGACTAAGGCTCTCAAGAACGAACATATATGTATTTATCTTGTGAATACGACCCAGGTCACAAATCTGTTGCAGTAAAGGCAACATTGGTCACAGACAGTCCTTAGATGGGTGACCATGGATGGGTAACTCCTGAGATTGTCTAGGACTTCAGTCCTGCCCCACAACAAAACACATACGATACATGTTGTCTCACCTAAGGCAAGTGAGTTTGTTAGAAATTGCCTCTGTTCACCCAGCTGAAAATGGGTACCCGGTCGGATAAGTCATGACTATTAACCTAGCGTCTCACAGGCAGCTTGGGTTATCCGTGGTAATATGGAGTTCAGTGCTATATAAGTGACCCTATTGTATTATTATAGTACCCATTAATGCCGAGCACCAGGCAGGGACCAGCAAGTACGATAATTTTTCCTTATCCTGACTCATGCTCTTTTGCTTGTCTTCTTCTTCTTGCGAACATAGTGGAACACTTGTATCTCCTTATTTGAAGCTCCGAGTCAGTATAATGTGTCTGAGTGGGGTATTCATGCTTCACTGCGGCATGGTATCTCAGTGGACTAGTACTATAAAACCAGCTTCAGTGTGGGCTAGTACAAACAGCCCCACATACACATACACACGCATGCACGTCGTCATATGAGCTAAATATTCTCAAGCACGACGTTAAACCCAATTTCACCTCACCTATTATCATGCCACCTGAGCCAGGGATGGTAACACACAAGCCAGTGCTGCAGCTAAAGCAGCTCTTGATAAACCTTTATCGCCACTGCTTATCCCGTACAGTGATTTCAAGCCAACTATCAAAAGTTATACTCAGAATCTTATAAATGCAAAAAAGCTGGGACAGCCAGGTAGGAATAAACCATGTTTTTAAAGACCCGAGAAGGTCCGGGTTAGAATATTGATCTTCAGTAACTCATGCTTTGTCGTAAGAGGCGACTAATGGGTTCTGGTGGTCAGGTTCGCTGACACATGTCACCGGTTCCCAGTTGCGCAGATCGATGCTCATGCTGTTGATCACTGGATTGTCTTGTCCAGACTCGATTATTTACAGACCGCCACCATATAACTGGAATATTGCTGAGTGTGGCGTAAAACTAAACTCACTCACTCCCTCAGAATCACTGTTGATCTGTCGCTCATTGGTCAGGAACCAAGCCACAAAGCAAAACTTCTGCCGTTAGAGATTGCTGGACTGCTGCTGACACTGACTACTAGTGAAAGGTCAACTCTGTGATGGACATATTCTGTTGCAGGAACTCCGATTCAGAACTCAATGAAGGATCTTTGGTCACTGATCAACTTCCTACAAATCTCCCCACTCACAGAGCGACAGTGGTGGTATCGTACCATCGAGAGGCCACTAGCACGAGGGGACAAGTGTGCTCTCAAGTGAGAATTATGTCTGTGTGTAATGGGTAAAAAACGCCCAGGATGTTTTGGTCAAAGTTGCAAATTCAAATATGGGAAAATAGCCCGCAGACTGAACACCAGCTGCAGATGATGAGTGTTTACAGCCTCAAAACAAATGGAGGAGTGTTTTGTGCAACCTGTAAACTGTTCAGATGCAAGAGTGTGTGAGTGAGTTAATATTTAACGTCACATCGGCAATATCTCAGCCATATCGTGACGTCAAGTGCAAGAAAACATAACAGAATGAAAAGCTTTTATGATACTGTATAGTTAAACAAGGTAGTCATGGTATTGAGCGAAGTTTAGCAGTAACTGAGTTAAAGTCAATAATGTTAAAGATTCATCACTGTTGATAATTTTTTAAACAAGCCATTGGACAGTGTTTTGTCTGTTTTAAAAGTATCAAGAAAATGTATCAAGAATTATTTAGCACACTTTCCGTAGGAAATGGATGAATAATAATTCTTGCTGGTGTACATGCATTTGGAAAAGTGATTCTTAAAAACATTGTTTATCAGTCAGCACCTCTGTAGTCTAGTTGGTTGGCTTGAAGTATGTAGGCTGCAGGTTTGATCTCAATCATTTGTCATTTGATTTTACATTATTCTGTACATTACCTGAATGTTTGTAGTGTGTTATAACCAGAAAATAGATATTCATGATAAGGAGGCCATCTGTAGAATATCCTTGGATTGGGGAGGACTTCCTGTAGGGTATCACTGCTGACAGGTGATACTGTGTTGAAAGGAGGCCTTTTAAAGACAGTAGGATGATATGAGTAGAGGGTTTTGGCAGATGTACACTTAAAGCGAAGAGCTCGACTCATGATGGGTGTGGGTTAGCCAAGTGGTTGAAATGTTCCCTCCTCACGCCGAGCCCTTGGTTCGATTCCCAACATGGGTACATAGTATGAAGGCGGTGGGGTACCCTGGTGGTTAAAGTGTTCACTTGTCACTCCGAAGACCCGGGTTCGAGTACCCACATGGACACAATGTGTGAAGCCCATTCCTGGTGTCCCTTCTTCTTCTTCTTCCAATTCTCTCCTCCTCCTCCCCCCCCCCCCTCTCTCTCTCTCTCTCTCCTCCCTCCCTCCCTCCCCAGCGATATTGCTGGAATATTGCTAAAAGCGGCTGAAAATCAAACTCTCTCACTCATAGTGTGAAATCCATTTCTGGTTTGATTCCGACATGTATATGGGTATATGGCCCCAGATAGCAATGTCCGTTGGGCCAATGTTGGCCAATGTTGGCCGAACGAACATTGCTATCAGGGGCCCATTTCGGTGTCCCTTGCTCTGATATTGCTGCAAGCAGCGTAAGACTAAACTCAGTCATGATCGCTGATGTCAGTACTAGCTCTAAGTATAAGAAAGGGTCCCCAAACAATGCTTGACTACCTACCCTCATCAACATCTCCAGACGTGTGCAGCACCTGATGGCCAACATAGCACTACGTCGTACAAAGACCATGAAGGTGAACAACAGGCCCCTGGTGGAGCTGCCAGCTCGGAACACCTTCATTGAACGCATCCAGCTGTCGGAAGAAGAGAGAAAGGTCTACACTGCCATGCAGAATGAAGGCAAAATTATCATCAGCAAGTAAGTGAAGCTTTATATTTGTTACTGTTGAACCCTGAAAAGACATTTCTTTCATGCAGTCTGACAATATTCTGTATTTTTACTTTGCACACATCATGGTCACTTGTTACCATATGGTGGAACATAACCAGTGCCATATATATCACAGAGCTCCAGATAAGATTTAGCTCATGTGGGTACTGTACCCACTCTATTGTTTTGGAGTGGGTATTATGAATGTTGAGTGGGTATTTCTTTTTCTGTTACCCACTGCTTTCAAATATGTGCGTATTTCAGTCATTTTACTCACCTAAGTATTATGTCATTGAGTAAGTTTACTAAGCAGGTATGTTCTGCCTTATGTCATACCTAATCAAAACCAACTTAAATATAATGGAAATGTTTTATAAAAAAATCACTCATCCTATACTGACAGTACAACACTTGTCCTATACTAACAGAACAACTTGATAGCAATCGATGTCTTTTTCATTACGCAAGCGATTTTTATAAATATGTTCCGTATGCATTTGTTTAAACTTTCTGCGTATCTAACATTTTAAATGTGTAATTGATACGCAACAATTATTTTTCAATGCGTAATTCTGTGCGTATTTTACCCGGATACGGAGCTTATCTGGGCCTCAGTTATATCATATGTGCACATGTGCACATATCACTTTTGCCTAGCAACCATTGTTTCTGTATTTCGTCGTCTGTGACGTCATTAAACAATGGAACGTGACATCAATTAACAGGGCCATCACACTTGCTTACCATGTTTTACTGCACAAATGTACATGAATAAAATGGATAATAAAGAAAGTATAACACTCGAGCAAGTTTGTAATTTGACTAACATGAAAGTCGTGCAAAATTATAGTGCTCTGGCAATACATAATTTCACACTCGTTTTGTATAAGTTGTATGACACACTGGCTTGTGTAATAATCTCCATATCCGTCTGTCTGTCTGTTTCATGGTCTGTGACAGAAACTATTGCTTTTTTAACCAGACAGTGGGCTAGAATTGATCTCCAGAAACCGAGGCAACTAAAGGGAACGGATGGTCAGTCTCACTAACTTGGTTAATCCATGTCCTTGTATCGCAGATGTGCAGATCAGTGTTCCTGATGTCAATCACGTTATTGTCTGGTCCGGAAGCAATTATTTACAGATTGATGTAGCTGAAATATTGCCAAGGGCAGTTTGCAACACTGAACAAAACAAAAACGAACAAGGTCTTTGTATTATTTCACAGTGACTGAGAAAGGGAATGTTCTTATGGCATTATTGGTGTAGAGGATAGAGCGTCTGCCCAGACAGTGGAAGGTCACAGCTTGGATCTAGCTGAGATTAACAGATGTAACGCATTAACATTACTTCTGTTTATTAGTAATGAGATATAACAAGGACTGAACTACAGTGAAACCTGCCAACACCGGCACCTTCCAATCTGGAACACTGTCCAAACCGGCATAAAATTTTGGTCCCACCATTTTACTACGATATTATGATCATTAAAACATTGCCTAATCCGGCACCTGTCTATTCCATATTTCAGCAGGACTTTCCAGTCCCAACAAGCAATTTTAAGTGTAATTAACACTGTCTAAACCGGCATGGGTATGAGCAGTCCAATCAAGGACCAATAATCCAGTACACTGATTAATCCTCTTGGCACGCTGACCGCCTCCGTGGTGTAGTGGTTAGAGCGTCCGCCCGGAGTGCGGAAGGTCGCGGGTTCGATCCCTGACTACGTCATACCAAAAGACGTTAAAATATGGTACTTGTTGGTCCCTGCCTGGTACTCGGCATTAATGGGTACAACAAGGACTGGTCGGCTCGGAGTTAGTATAATGTGTCTGAGTAGGGTATTCATGCATCCCTGCGGCATGGTATCTCAGTGGGCTAGCACTATAAAACCAGCTTCAGTGTGGGCTAGTACAAGCAGCCAAACATACACATACACACGCATGTACGTCGTCATATGAGCGAAATATTCTCAAGCACGACGTTCAACCCAATTCCACCACCACCTCTTGGCACGCTACATATCAGGAAGTAGTAATTTTGTGGTGAATCAAACACTTGTAGGATTAACACGGTTATGCTTTATAAACACCGGGGGATTGCATTAACTGTTTTAAAGATAAGATTATACAGATAAAGAGATTGACAAGTGTAAATGGCAGCCATGTTGGAAAATGATCGTCACTGTCTAATCCACCACCGAGTCTAAACCGGCATTTTATTTCGGTCCCCAGGGATGCCGGTTTAGACAGGTTTCACTGTATTTCTTGTGTGGCACTTGCAAACCTTGAAAGTTCTTTCAGAGATGAGACAAAAATCCTGTCCATCCATGTACCATTCCACCCACATCATGACCGTGTCTCTGTGAATCATGTTTAAGTACTGATGACACCAGGTGTTTGTTATTAGTACGGTAACAATGCATCAAACTATTAATGGATTGCAATTATTGAGTCTCCGACAGAGATTAATCGATGGTAGAAACAAAAAACTATCGATGCATCGATAGTATGTGTGACTATCAATTCAGGAAGTACCAGATTCATTCACTTACAGCTATGTGCCCCTGTTACCTCTTAAACAAACTTGATCTGGGTTTCAAGTTTCTTGACAGATATTAAAAGAGACTGAAACTACTTCAGCTTGTTTTTATTTCATATAAGCTAAACATTTATTTGAGAAATGAATTCAAAGGAGACACTCAAGGAGAAAAAAGCTATTGCAATAGTTATGGAATAGTTGGTTGCAATAGGCTATCGCTATAGTATGTTGCAAAAGACTATTGCTATCGCAATCGTTGTTTACCCCCTTGTTATCAGTTCAGATGCAACTAACTTGAGTCACATGTCAAGGTAGCTTTGAAGGTAATTGCTCCATGAAATGAATTGAAGGCTGTTTCTTTCAAAAAGTATTGTTAGTATGTAACTTTTATATTTGTAACATGCCTTCATTTGCATTAAGTAAGGTTCTGGCATTTGACTGCATCATATTGAAGATGAAGGTCACTTGGTGAAAAGTAAATGTCCCCAAATCAGTTTGTGCACATAATGCCTTGAGCATTTATCATTGCAATTTTTTAAGATATTTCAAGACGCATGAACTGTAGTGAATTTAGATTGAGCTTGACCATGACGACCACTGAGCTGGAAGCCCCAGTACAGATAACGAAGGAATGATGGAAGCTGGGGGTATACGACGTTCTGTTTTGTGTTGGCCAGGTATTTCCGTGAGGGGACTCTGCTACACAACTACGGCCAGGTGCTGGCTATACTGATGAGGTATACGACGTTCTGTTTTGTGTTGGCCAGGTATTTCCGCGAGGGGACTCTGCTACACAACTACGGCCAGGTGCTGGCTATACTGATGAGGCTGCGGCAGATGTGCTGCCACCCTTCCCTGGTGGCCAGGGCTGCTGAAGCTGTCAAGGATACACAAGATTTCCTAGGTGCCAGTGTGGGGAATAGGCTGGGATTGTACTGGGGTTGGGAATAGGCTGGGATTGTACTAGTGTAGGGAATAGGCTGGGATTGTACTGGTGTAGGGAATAGGCTGGGATTGTACTAGTGTAGGGAATAGGCTGGGATTGTACTGGTGTTGGGAATAGGCTGGGATTGTACTAGTGTAGGGAATAGGCTGGAATTGTACTGGGGTTGGGAATAGGCTGGGATTGTACTAGTGTAGGGAATAGGCTGGAATTGTACTGGGGTTGGGAATAGGCTGGGATTGTACTAGTGTAGGGAATAGGCTGGAATTGTACTGGGGTTGGGAATAGGCTGGGATTGTACTAGTGTAGGGAATAGGCTGGAATTGTACTGGGGTTGGGAATTGTACTAGTGTAGGGAATAGGCTGGGATTGTACTAGTGTAGGGAATAGGCTGGGATTGTACTAGTGTAGGGAATAGGCTGGGATTGTACTAGTGTAGGGAATAGGCTGGGATTGTACTGGTGTAGGGAATAGGCTGGGATTGTACTGGTGTAGGGAATAGGCTTGGGTTGTACTGGTGTTGGGAATAGGCTGGGATTGTGCTGGTGTTGGGAATAGGCTGGGATTGTGCTGGTGTTGGGAATAGGCTGGGATTGTGCTGTTGTTGGGAATAGGCTGGGATTGTGCTGGTGTTGGGAATAGGCTGGGATTGTGCTGGTGTTGGGAATAGGCTGGAATTTTGCTTTGTTAGGAATAGGCTGGGATCGTACTGGTGTAGGGAATAGGCTTGGATTGTACTGTTGTTGGGAATAGGCTGGGATTGTGCTGGTGTTGGAGATATGTTGGGATTGTACTGGTGTTGGGTATATGTTGGGATTGTACTAGTGTTGGGTATAACGCGGAGTTGTACTGGGTGTTTTTATTGTAAGGTTTTAATTGTGCCCCTCCGGGAACGCGGAACGGGGGACTAAGTATTCAGCGGTGTCTGTACGTACGTATACATCCCAATTCTTGTTAACGCAATATTTCATGAACTGTTGTACCCAACGTCTTCAAATTTGGTGACAGCCTACATTGGGGCATTACCCAGAGACCAGTTGATTTGGGTGACCTCGACCTTATTTTCAAGGTCACCATGACACTTTGCCCACTTTTCAAACTCTTGTTAACGCGACATCTCATGGACTGGTGTACCCAATGTCTTCAAATTTGGCGACAGCCTACATTGGGGCATTACCCAGACCCCAGTTCATTTGGGTGACCTTGACTTTATCTTCAAGGTCACCACGACACTTAGACCACTTTTCAAAATTATTTAAACACGATATCTCATAAAACATTGCACCCAATGTTTTCAATTATGTCAACAGCCTACATTGGGTGATTCTGCAGACACCAGTCATTTCTGGCACCTGGTATGTGGCCAAAAAAGAAATAGTAGTAATACTGTAAATCATGAAATTAATGCGTGACAAATTTAATGCGAGCTCCGGAATCTGTGTTGATGATAAGATGTGACACCTAGAATCTTTGATGTTGTTCATTTTCTGTTCACACTTGTTATTTACCAAATAACCTGAATTGAGCTTGTTAAGCAATGAATGGAAATGAGCTGACGATGTTTTGATTAAGCTGTCATGTTTGATCACGTGATTGCTTGATACTACTTGTCTTATGGCAACATGTATAAATGTAATCAGACTTGAAAGATGCAAGTCGTCTACCAAGGTACAACAAACACGTGGCTGGAGACTGTCCGGTCTGGCTGATGTGCTTGAGTGACTTTAAACAATGACCAGTGATTGTAACCAGTGATAATTACATGTGGCTTGAGATACCTGTAATGAGGAAGTGACCTGTACTGGTGTAATGTGTAGTGTCAACACTTCCGCTATTGTTGCCTAAATTACCGATGAATAAGTTCAATGGATATCAATTAGTGTCATGGAAAATAGTCCTCATTTGTAGATTAATTTCATGAGAGATGTCTAAATTGTTATTATACTCTGTATTGTTATAATGAATGCTAAGCTGAAGACGACAAGGGATTTACGTTTTCTGTCTTCCATTAAGTTCTCAATAGTAGACATGGTCAGACTGAAATGCGTCATTATAATTATGCAAGTAGAGTACAGACGCATTTTTCGCAATAATAAAATGCTCGCATTAATTTCATGATTTACAGTAGATATTCCATTCTTTAGCGGCGGGGGACATTGCCGTATCAGTGGCAAACACTTGTACTGTGTTATGAATGGACTGTTATTTTATCAGTATTCTTCTGATTACTTTCTTTCGTGAAATGATGTCAAAGAACATGTTCCTCACCAGAATTTTTCTTTTTTAAATGAAAGTAATGGTTTGTATTATTCCCTGGAATTTGACTTGTCAACTAGGTGTTCTTCTTTTTATTGTATAATGGATGTACTCACAACGTCAATCGCTGGTTTGACTGGTATTATACAGAAGTGACACAGAACCAGAATGCCCCATCTGACAACAAACATTCGATGTTGCAGACAAAATGGACAAGGCTGAGAACGCTGATGAGGCAAAGGAGAAGCTGGTGGAGACGTTGCTGATGGTGCTCAAGTCGGGGTCGGATGAGGAGTGTGCTGTGTGTCTGGACAGCCTGAAGAGCCCGGTCATCACCCCCTGTGCTCACGTCTACTGCCGGAGATGCATCGTCGCTGTTATCAACAATGAGAAGGTACGTATTGCTTCTTTAATATTGATACCTTGATTTCTTACAGTTACATTGTTTCATGTGTATAACTATAGTAATTCATTTAGCTCTTACATTCTCTTTTTGATGTGATCAAATATTTTCCAGCCCAGTTTACAAGATAATTACACACATTAATGTAAATTCTTGTAACAAAGTCAGCCCAGCGGACCATGTGGTCAGTGACAACAGCGTTAGGGACAGGGCGACAAGTTGTTTGCCCACTGAGTGACCACAGTTTGACTGGGGAAGGGCTCTTGAAAGGGTTCTTGAGTCTCCTCTTAATCTGCAGAACAAGCAGAATACCCTCTTAAAACACAGTGACAACAGCGGTCAGAGACAGGGCAACAAACAAGTTGTTTACCCACAGAACGACCACAGCTTGACCGGGGAAGGGCTGTTGAAAGGGTTCTTGAGTCTCCTCTTAAACAGCAGAACAAGCAGAATACCCTCTTAAAACACAGTGACAACAGCGGTCAGAGACAGGGCGACAAAGTTGTTTAACCACCGAGTGACCACAAGATAACTGGGGAGAAACAATGACTTATGCCTGACCCCTTGTTGACCGGGTACATGAAGCATATATAAACCCAGGACTTTGAGCCTTAGACGGAGACACAGTCTCAGATGCAGTCTCAGCAGCAGTCGAGTGCACACCTCCCCTCCAGTAGAGCAGACCTGGTCCTGAAGCCACTCTGGGCCTATGAAGCGACAGACGTCCTCCTTGGAATAAAACATCCAACTCCTTGTACTTCTGGTGTTGTCTCTTCCTTTGTTACATTCTTGCATATAAAATAATAAATACCATAACAAGAAATACAGTTGGATTGTACATCATCACATGTATAGAGAATCTCACCCAAGTGTCTTCTGATATCAATTATATCAACACGAGTTGATAAAGTTACAAATATCCGAGGCTTTTACTTTTATCAACGAGTGTTGATATATTTGATATCAGAAGACACGAGGGTGAGATACTATTTATCATCCAAAATCACTCTTCATTAATTTTCAATGAAAAATGTACATCTCTGAACATGGTACTGCCATTACACTTGCAGTGCAGCGATGTCATAGCATTGTGACGTCATCAAGTACATGACGTCATAGCATTGTCAGGGCATTGTACAAAATCTACTGTCAAAACGATATCTCCTGGGAGATATCGTTTGATCTCACACAAGCGATATCTCCTGTGGAACACAGTTTTTTGATGATAAAGTGATGTCTCAACATCACGTAACGTTTTTTATTATATCTTTAGCCCAACTCCAAGTGCCCTCTCTGTAGAGGAGACATCAATGAAGCCAAGCTGATCGAAGTGCCTCCTGAGCACCAAACAGAGCAGAGTTACGAACCAAATTATCTGGCAGACTGGCAGTCCAGTGCGAAGGTAAGTTATCCATAGCAGGGATTAATATATTGAGAATTGCTGGAGAAAAACAGTATATCTTGTCTCTCTTGGTGCTTTTTGCAAACATTCCTCTGTTTCAGGTAACATAGACGGGTGGGGGGTTCCTAATTTGTTATTTAATAATTTGTACAAAATAAAGTTGGACACAGAGGGCTTATGTGGCCTGTGGTTGACCCACTAAATCACTGCTAAAATGAATGCAGTTCAAGCAATCAGTCTAATCACACAGTCAAATCAGTCACCTCACTGAACAGATAACCTTTTGACCTTTTGTGTCATGTCATGGTTTGCCAGCATCACACCAGTTCCCCTGAGGAGATACGGATTACAAATGACCTTCTACGACCCATGCTTGTCATAACAGGCGGCTGACTGGATCGTCCAGGCTCACTGACTTGGTTGACACATGTCATCGTATCCCAACTGTGTTGATCAATGCTCATGATGTTAATCACTGGATTGTCTGGTCCAGACCATTCCCATAGAGCTGGAATATTGCTGGGTGCAGTTAAGCAACAAATACTTGAAATAGTGCTTGTGCATTCTACTCCTGTGACTGATAAGCACTATCAGACACAGTTTACATGTATACACCGTTAGAGCTAAGCACCCATGCTTTCAGTTGCAGAAGTAATCTAAAGTGCATGAGATAAGTCACGATATGTTAGGCCTTTCTATTTTACACCTGTCTTGCAGTAAACATTCCTTACTTGCTGAAAGTTTATGATATATTTTCATGAAGGGCCTGCTTCTGTCATTGCAATTACTAGGTTTTTCTTTAACCTTTCATCCATACGCTCATTCTTCCACTTGCAATTCACAAACCCACCCATTCTGTCCATCAAAGCCCATTCGTCCTCTCATTAACTCAATTATTTGTTCATCCACTGACTCATGCCACGATCCATTGCTCATTCAGCCATGCCCTCACTCAATCACACTGTCAATCATTCATCCACCAATTTATTCACCCTCCCCCAGATCACGATATGGCTGAAATATTGCCAAAGTGACTATGAATTTTAACTCTTGTGCTCGCTCGCTCACTCACTCACTCACTCACTCACTCACTCACTCACTCACTCACTCACTCACTCACTCACTCCTCCACTCCTTTATTCCCCACTTGTCCATTCTCCCACCTCATCCATTCTCCCACCTCATCCATTCTCATCCTCTTTTACGTTTATCCCCGATCACTCATTCCCCCACCTCCTCACTCATTCATCCACCTCCTCACTCATTCATCCACCCAGTCACTGTGACCCACCCCTCATTCATTCACCCACTAACTGATTCCTCGACAACTGATTCCAACAGAAACTTTACAACCACTAACCTTCCAGCCACTGTTGCAGGTGGATGCCCTGATGAGCGGTCTTGTCAAGCTGAGGACAGAAGACCCTACAGTGAAGAGTCTGGTTGTGTCACAGTTCACCTCATTCCTCACACTTCTAGAGGTACCACTCAGGTACGTCAGGACTTCTGTTGTCTGTGACATTGCTGTGTTGTCTGTAACCCTGCTATGTTATCTGTAACACTACCATGTTATCTGTAACACTTCCATGTTATCTGTAACACTACCATGTTATCTGTAACACTAATATGTTGTCTGTAACCCTGCTATAATGTCTGTAACACTTCCATCATGTCTGTAACCCGGCTATGTTATCTGTAACACTGCCATCTTGTCTGTAACCCAGCTATGTTATCTGTAACACTTCCATCTTGTCTGTAACCCGGCTATGTTATCTGTAACACTTCAATCTTGTCTGTAACCCTGCTATGTTGTCTGTAACACTTCCATCTTGTCTGTAATCCGGCTATGTTATCTGTAACCCTGCTATGTTATCTGTAACACTTCCATCTTGTCTGTAACCCAGCTATGTTATCTGTAACACTTCCATCTTGTCTGTAACCCTGCTATGTTATCTGTAATACTTCCATCTTGTCTGTAACCCTGCTATGTTATCTGTAACACTTCCATCTTGTCTGTAACCCTGCTATGTTATCTGTAACACTTCCATCTTGTCTGTAACCTGGCTATGTTATCTGTAACACTACAATGTTGTCTGTAACCCTGTGATGTTATCTGTAACACTTCCATCTTGTCAGTAACCCTGCTATGTTATCTGTAACACTTCCATCTTGTCTAACCCTGCTGTTATCTGTAACACTTCCATCTTGTCTGTAACCCTGCTATATTATCTGTAACACTTCCATCTTGTCTGTAACACTTCCATCTTGTCTGTAACCCGGCTATGTTATCTGTAATACTTCCATCTTGTCTGTAACCCTGCTATGTTATCTGTAACCCTTCCATCTTGTCTGTAACCCTGTGATGTTATCTGTAACACTTCCATCTTGTCTGTAACCCTGCTATGTTATCTGTAACACTTCCATCTTGTCTGTAACCCTGCTGTTATCTCTAACACTTCCATCTTGCCTGTAACCCTGCTATGTTATCTGTAACACTTCCATCTTGTCTGTAACCCGGCTGTTATCTGTAACACTTCCATCTTGTCTGTAACCCTGCTATGTTATCTGTAACACTTCCATCTTGTCTGTAACCCTGCTATGTTATCTGTAACACTTCCATCTTGTCTGTAACCCGGCTATGTTATCTGTAACACTTCCATCTTGTCTGTAACCCTTCCATGTTTTCTGTAACCCTTCCATCTTGTCTGTAACCCTTCCATCTTGTCTGTAACCCTGCCATGTTATCTGTAACCCTTCCATCTTGTCTGTAACCCTGCTATGTTGTCTGTAACACTTCCATCTTGTCTGTAACACTTCCATGTTGTCTGTAACCCAGCTATGTTGTCTGTAACCCAGCTATGTTGTCTGTAACACTTCCATCTTGTCTGTAACACTTCCATGTTATCTGTAACCCTTCCATCTTGTCTGTAACCCTGCCATGTTATCTGTAACACTTCCATCTTGTCTGTAACCCAGCTATGTTGTCTGTAACACTTCCATCTTGTCTGTAACACTTCCATCTTGTCTGTAACCCAGCTATGTTGTCTGTAACCCAGCTATGTTGTCTGTAACACTTCCATCTTGTCTGTAACACTTCCATCTTGTCTGTAACACTTCCATCTTGTCTGTAACCCGGCTATGTTATCTGTAATACTTCCATCTTGTCTGTAACCCTGCTATGTTATCTGTAACCCTTCCATCTTGTCTGTAACCCTGCTATGTTATCTGTAACACTTCCATCTTGTCTGTAACCCTGCTGTTATCTGTAACACTTCCATCTTGTCTGTAACCCTGCTATGTTATCTGTAACACTTCCATCTTGTCTGTAACCCTGCTATGTTATCTGTAACACTTCCATCTTGTCTGTAACCCTGCTATGTTATCTGTAACACTTCCATCTTGTCTGTAACCCTGCTATGTTATCTGTAACACTTCCATCTTGTCTGTAACCCGGCTATGTTATCTGTAACACTTCCATCTTGTCTGTAACCCTTCCATGTTTTCTGTAACCCTTCCATCTTGTCTGTAACCCTTCCATCTTGTCTGTAACCTTGCCATGTTATCTGTAACCCTTCCATCTTGTCTGTAACCCTGCTATGTTGTCTGTAACACTTCCATCTTGTCTGTAACACTTCCATGTTGTCTGTAACCCAGCTATGTTGTCTGTAACCCAGCTATGTTGTCTGTAACACTTCCATCTTGTCTGTAACCCTTCCATGTTATCTGTAACCCTTCCATCTTGTCTGTAACCCTGCCATGTTATCTGTAACATTTCCATCTTGTCTGTTACCCAGCTATGTTGTCTGTAATACTTCCATCTTGTCTGTAACACTTCCATCTTGTCTGTAACCCAGCTATGTTGTCTGTAACCCAGCTATGTTGTCTGTAACACTTCCGTCTTGTCTGTAACCCAACTATGTTGTCTGTAACCCTATTATGTTGTCTGTAACACTTCCATCTTGTCTGTAACCCTGCTATGTTATCTGTAACACTTCCATCTTGTCTGTAACCCTGCTATGTTGTCCGTAACACTTCCATCCTGTCTGTAACCCTGCTCTGTTATCTGTAACACTTCCATCTTGTCTGTAACCCGGCTATGTTATCTGTAACACTTCCTTCTTGTCTGTAACCCGGCTATGTTATCTGTAACCCTGCTATGTTGTCTGTAACACTTCCATCTTGTCTGTAACAATTCCATCTTGTCTGTAACCCAACTATGTTGTCTGTAACCCAGCTATGTTGTCTGTAACACTTCCATCTTGTCTGTAACCCTGCTATGTTATCTGTAACACTTCCATCTTGTCTGTAACCCTGCTATGTTATCTGTTACACTTCCATGTTATCTGTAACACTTCCATCTTGTCTGTAACCCTGCTATGTTATCTGTAACACTTCCATCTTGTCTGTAACCCTGCTATGTTGTCTGTAACACTTCCATCTTGTCTCTAACCCGGCTATGTTATCTGTAACACTTCCATCTTGTCTGTAACACTTCTATCTTGTCTGTAACCCAGCTATGTTATCTGTAACACTTCCATCTTGTCTGTAACCCTGCTATGTTATCTGTAACCCTGCTATGTTGTCTGTAACCCTGCTATGTTATCTGTAACACTTCCATCTTGTCTGTAACCCTGCTATGTTGTCTGTAACCCGGCTCTGTTATCTGTAACACTTCCATCTTGTCTGTAACCCGGCTCTGTTATCTGTAACACTACCATGTTGTCTGTAACCCTGTGATGTTATCTGTAACACTTCCATCTTGTCTGTAACCCTGCTATGTTGTCTGTAACCCGGCTATGTTATCTGTAGCGCTTCCATCTTGTCTGTAACCCGGCTATGTTATCTGTAACACTTCCTTCTTGTCTGTAACCAGGCTATGTTATCTGTAACCCTGCTATGTTGTCTGTAACACTTCCATCTTGTCTGTAACAATTCCATCTTGTCTGTAACCCAACTATATTGTCTGTAACCCAGCTATGTTGTCTGTAACACTTCCATCTTGTCTGTAACACTTCCATCTTGTCTGTAACCCTGCTATGTTATCTGTAACACTTCCATCTTGTCTGTAACCCTGCTATGTTATCTGTTACACTTCCATGTTATCTGTAACACTTCCATCTTGTCTGTAACCCTGCTATGTTATCTGTAACACTTCCATCTTGTCTGTAACCCTGCTATGTTGTCTGTAACACTTCCATCTTGTCTCTAACCCGGCTATGTTATCTGTAACACTTCCATCTTGTCTGTAACACTTCTATCTTGTCTGTAACCCAGCTATGTTATCTGTAACACTTCCATCTTGTCTGTAACCCTGCTATGTTATCTGTAACCCTGCTATGTTGTCTGTAACCCTGCTATGTTATCTGTAACACTTCCATCTTGTCTGTAACCCTGCTATGTTGTCTGTAACCCGGCTCTGTTATCTGTAACACTTCCATCTTGTCTGTAACCCGGCTCTGTTATCTGTAACACTACCATGTTGTCTGTAACCCTGTGATGTTATCTGTAACACTTCCATCTTGTCTGTAACCCTGCTATGTTGTCTGTAACCCAGCTATGTTATCTGTAGCGCTTCCATCTTGTCTGTAACCCTGCTATGTTATCTGTAACACTTCCATCTTGTCTGTAACCCTGCTATGTTATCTGTAACACTTCCATCTTGTCTGTAACACTTCCATCTTGTCTGTAACCTTGCTATGTTGTCTGTAACCCTGCTATGTTGTCTGTAACACTTCCATCTTGTCTGTAACCCAGCTATGTTATCTGTAACACTTCTATCTTGTCTGTAACCCTGCTATGTTATCTGTAACACTTCCATCTTGTCTGTAACCCGGCTATGTTATCTGTAACACTTCCATCTTGTCTGTAACACTTCCATCTTGTCTGTAACACTTCCATCTTGTCTGTAACCCAGCTATGTTATCTGTAACACTTCTATCTTGTCTGTAACCCTGCTATGTTATCTGTAACACTTCCATCTTGTCTGTAACCCTGCTATGTTATCTGTAACACTTCCATGTTATCTGTAACACTTCCATCTTGTCTGTAACCCGGCTATGTTGTCTGTAACCCAGCTTTGTTGTCTGTAACACTTCCATCTTGTCTGTAACACTTCCATCTTGTCTGTAACCCTGCTATGTTATCTGTAACACTTCCATCTTGTCTGTAACCCTGCTATGTTATCTGTTACACTTCCATGTTATCTGTAACACTTCCATCTTGTCTGTAACCCGGCTATGTTATCTGTAACACTTCCATCTTGTCTGTAACCCTGCTATGTTATCTGTAACACTTCCATCTTGTCTGTAACCCTGCTATGTTATCTGTTACACTTCCATGTTATCTGTAACACTTCCATCTTGTCTGTAACCCTGCTATGTTATCTGTAACACTTCCATCTTGTCTGTAACCCTGCTATGTTGTCTGTAACACTTCCATCTTGTCTCTAACCCGGCTATGTTATCTGTAACACTTCCATCTTGTCTGTAACACTTCTATCTTGTCTGTAACCCAGCTATGTTATCTGTAACACTTCCATCTTGTCTGTAACCCTGCTATGTTATCTGTAACCCTGCTATGTTGTCTGTAACCCTGCTATGTTATCTGTAACACTTCCATCTTGTCTGTAACCCTGCTATGTTGTCTGTAACCCGGCTCTGTTATCTGTAACACTTCCATCTTGTCTGTAACCCGCTCTGTTATCTGTAACACTACCATGTTGTCTGTAACCCTGTGATGTTATCTGTAACACTTCCATCTTGTCTGTAACCCTGCTATGTTGTCTGTAACCCAGCTATGTTATCTGTAGCGCTTCCATCTTGTCTGTAACCCTGCTATGTTATCTGTAACACTTCCATCTTGTCTGTAACCCTGCTATGTTATCTGTAACACTTCCATCTTGTCTGTAACACTTCCATCTTGTCTGTAACCTTGCTATGTTGTCTGTAACCCTGCTATGTTGTCTGTAACACTTCCATCTTGTCTGTAACCCAGCTATGTTATCTGTAACACTTCTATCTTGTCTGTAACCCTGCTATGTTATCTGTAACACTTCCATCTTGTCTGTAACCCGGCTATGTTATCTGTAACACTTCCATGTTATCTGTAACACTTCCATCTTGTCTGTAACCCGGCTATGTTGTCTGTAACCCAGCTTTGTTGTCTGTAACACTTCCATCTTGTCTGTAACACTTCCATCTTGTCTGTAACCCTGCTATGTTATCTGTAACACTTCCATCTTGTCTGTAACCCTGCTATGTTATCTGTTACACTTCCATGTTATCTGTAACACTTCCATCTTGTCTGTAACCCGGCTATGTTATCTGTAACACTTCCATCTTGTCTGTAACCCTGCTATGTTATCTGTAACACTTCCATCTTGTCTGTAACCCGGCTCTGTTATCTGTAACACTTCCATCTTGTCTGTAACCCTGCTATGTTATCTGTAACACTTCCATCTTGTCTGTAACCCTGCTATGTTGTCTGTAACACTTCCATATTGTCTGTAACACTTCCATCTTGTCTGTAACCCTGCTATGTTATCTGTAACACTTCCATCTTGTCTGTAACCCAGCTATGTTATCTGTAACACTTCCATCTTGTCTGTATCCCGGCTCTGTTATCTGTAACACTTCCATCTTGTCTGTAACCCTGCTATGTTATCTGTAACACTTCCATCTTGTCTGTAACCCTGCTATGTTATCTGTAACCCTGCTATGTTGTCTGTAACCCGGCTCTGTTATCTGTAACACTTCCATCTTGTCTGTAACCCTGCTATGTTGCCTGTAACCCGGCTCTGTTATCTGTAACACTTCCATCTTGTCTGTAACCCGGCTCTGTTATCTGTAACACTACCATGTTGTCTGTAACCCTGCTATGTTATCTGTAACACTTCCATCTTGTCTGTAACCCGGCTATGTTATCTGTAACCCTTCCATCTTGTCTGTAACCCTGCTATGTTATCTGTAACACTTCCATCTTGTCTGTAACCCTGCTATGTTATCTGTAACACTTCCATCTTGTCTGTAACACTTCCATCTTGTCTGTAACCCTGCTATGTTACCTGTAACACTTCCATCTTGTCTGTAACCCAGCTATGTTATCTGTAACACTTCTATCTTGTCTGTAACCCTGCTATGTTATCTGTAACACTTCCATCTTGTCTGTAACCCGGCTATGTTATCTGTAACACTTCCATCTTGTCTGTAACCCTGCTATGTTATCTGTAACACTTCCATCTTGTCTGTAACCCTGCTATGTTGTCTGTAACTCTTCCATCTTGTCTGTAACCCTGCTATGTTATCTGTAACACTTTCATCTTGTCTGTAACCCTGCTATGTTATCTGTAACACTTTCATCTTGTCTGTAACCCAGCTATGTTATCTGTAACACTTCCATTTTGTCTGTAACCCTGCTATGTTATCTGTAACACTTCCATCTTGTCTGTAACCCTGCTATGTTATCTGTAACACTTCCATCTTGTCTGTAACCCTGCTTTGTTATCTGTAACACTTCCATCTTGTCTGTAACCCGGGTATGTTATCTGTAACACTTCCATCTTGTCTGTAACACTTCCATCTTGTCTGTATCCCAGCTATGTTATCTGTAACACTTCCATCTTGTCTGTAACCCTGCTGTGTTATCTGTAACACTTCCATCTTGTCTGTAACCCTGCTATGTTATCTGTAACACTTCCATCTTGTCTGTAACCCGGCTCTGTTATCTGTAACACTTCCATCTTGTCTGTAACACTTCCATCTTGTCTGTAACCCAGCTATGTTATCTGTAACACTTCTATCTTGTCTGTAACCCTGCTATGTTATCTGTAACACTTCTATCTTGTCTGTAACCCTGCTATGTTATCTGTAACACTTCCATGTTATCTGTAACACTTCCATCTTGTCTGTAACCCGGCTATGTTGTCTGTAACCCAGCTATGTTGTCTGTAACACTTCCATCTTGTGTGTAACACTTCCATCTTGTCTGTAACCCTGCTATGTTATCTGTAACACTACCATGTTGTCTGTAACCCTGTCATGTTATCTGTAACACTACCATGTTGTCTGTAACACTTCCATCTTGTCTGTAACCCTTCTATGTTATCAGTGAAATGCTGTGTCACCCGTAACTTTTGCTAGTCAGTGAGGCTGGTATTACCTGTATGTCTAGTATGTTATTGAAGCTGGTGTATATGTGAAGGTGACATTCGGGTGTAGAACCACATTCTTGTCTCTGTGTTGATTTCTTCCAGAGCTGGGCAGTGCTGTAGCCTAGTGGTTACAGCGTTTGCTCGTCACGCCAAAGGCCCAGGTCGATTCCCCACAAGGGCACCGCCATGATATTGCTGGAATATTGCTAAAAGCGGTGTAAACCGAAACTCACTCACTCACTTACTCTTCCAGAGCTAATGGCTTCAAGTTTGCTCGCTTGGATGGCACTATGTCTGCAGCAAATAGAGTAGCAGCCATACAGGAATTCTCTGAGACAGGCCCCAAGACACCAACCATCTTCCTCTTGTCACTGAAGGCTGGCGGTGTTGGTCTGAACCTCACAGCCGCGTCCCGGGTGTTTCTCATGGACCCTGTGAGTATATCATGAATTTACTAGGGGATATCTGATTGGGTATTTCTCATGGACCCTGGTAGTATATCATGAATTTACTAGTCGCTATCTGATTGGGTGTTTCTCATGGACCCTGTGAGTATATCATGAATTTACTAGGGCTATCTGATTGGGTATTTCTCATGGACCCTGTGAGTATATCATGAATTTACTCAGGGCTATCTGGTTGGGTATTTCTAATGGACCTGTGAGTATATCATGAATTTAATGGGTGCTGTCTGTTTGGGTATTTCTCATGGACCCTGTGAGTATATCATGAATTTACTCAGGGCTATCTGGTTGGGTATTTCTAATGGACCTGTGAGTATATCATGAATTTTCTACGGGCTATCTGGGTGGGTATTTCTGATGGACCCTGTGAGTATATCATGAATTTTCTACGGGCTGTCTGGGTGGGTATATCTCATGGACCCTGTGAGTATATCATGAATTTTCTACGGGCTGTCTGGGTGGGTATTTCTAATGGACCCTGTGAGTATATCATGAATTTTCTACGGGCCGTTTGGGTGGGTATTTCTCATTGTGATTTTTGCTAAGGTTGTCTGGTCGTAACCTCAGCATCTCATTTCTTATGGACCCTTGAGCATATAATAAATTTACTATGGGCAGTCTCATTGTCTAGATGACTTACCTTTGATTATAAGGATCTTGAGCTGGGATGATTTACTACTTGGCCTTCGACGACGTGACTTAACCTGGGTACCCAGTGTAAATCTAAAGTGTTGCCCTCCCTGCACTATTTGGGTCTCAAGCTGACAACATGAAGCATGCATTTCCTCATTCCAAAGAATATTACCAACAACCTATGCTTGCACATACTGAGAAACCATAAGCTTGTAAATGTCTTTCAGAGGCAAGGGGGCGGTGGGGTAGCCTCGTAGTTAAAGCGTTCACTTGTCACACCAAAGACCTGGCTTCAATTCCCCACATGGGTACAATGTGTGAAGCCCATTTCTGGTGTCCCTCACCGTGATCTTGCTGGAATATTGCTAAAACGGCGTAAAACCAAACTCATTCATTCGCTCAAAGGCAAGGACTATCAACTACCTAGATATCTGATCCTCTGAACCAGGCTACTCACTGTAGGTCCCTAGGTTGATGGCATCCTTCCCTTCATTTCCAAGAATCTTACAGATGTCCAGTTCCTGCACATACTCCGAAACCATTATAAGCCTGTAAATGTCTTCTTCTCTCAGGGGGCGGTGGGGTAGCCTAATGGTTAAAGCGTTGGCTCGTCACGCCGAAGACCCGGGTTCGAATCCCCACATGGGCACAATGTGTGAAGCCCATTTCTGGTGTCCCCCGCCGTGATGTTGCTGGAATATTGCTAAAAGCGACGTAATCCAAACTCAGTCAGTCAGTCTTCTCTCAGGCATGGAACCCGGCAGCAGAGGAGCAGTGCTTTGATCGATGTCATCGCCTGGGACAGACCAGGGATGTTGTCATTACTAAGGTAGGTTAACTTAGTGAGTTGTTTGGATTTATAGTCTGTTTGCAGTGAAAACCTACTGATGAATTTCACTTTTACACAAAAAAGTAGATCAAATAAAGTGAAATTAAGATTGCGAATGCTCATAATTTGACCTTGCCAATTGAACATTTAAATCTCGGCGTTTTACTCAACTTATGATAAAATTTGTTTAACGAACGATCATAGATTCAAATCGCTATTATTGGTTTGTATTACAAGGGGGTAAGCGCAGTACTTGGAGCAGTGAAACAAATGCACGTGCGGTACGTGACGAGCGTTAACTTAGACCAATCCTACTTGTTCTCGGTGTTTCATTTAATGTGCATACCCCCTTGTAATACAAACCAATAGTAGCGATTTGAAACTATGATCGTTTGTTAAACAACTTATATCCTAAGTTGAATAAAATTCTGAGATTTAAAAAGTACAATTGGCAAGGTAAACTTATGAGGATTCGCAATCTTGATTTCACTTTATTGTGAGTTACTTTTTTGCTTAAAGTGAAATTCGTTGGTACGTTTTCACTGCAAACAGACTATAATGGCATAACTAAGAGCATTCCAGTTATATCACTTCATATCAGCTTACTATGGCAGGAGGGGGCGTGGGGTAGCCTAGAGCCTAGTGGTTAAAGTGTTAGCTCGTCACGCCGAAGACCCGGGTTCGATTCCCCACATGTGTACAATGTGTGAGGCCGATTTCTGGTGTCCCCTGCCATGATATTGCCGGAATATTGCAAAAAGTGGCGTAAAACTAAACTCACTCACTACTATGGGAGAAGAGTCCAATGTGATCAGGCCCTCCTTTCACAATGCACTAAGGTGATTGTAAGTCACTAAGGTAACTTTAGTACAATGGTAAAGAATGGGAGAATGGTTAACCTTAGTAAAGGTTGCTTTGTGAAAGGTGCCCCAGGTGTCGGATGTTTTCAGATTAGGCGAAACCCACATGCATGGGTATGCGGCTGACAAACATAGAAACTTAACATGACTGAACCAGGATTTGGACCGAGCCTCAAAGGTTTCGTATGTACCAAAGGGTATTAACTCTACACAGCAAATTGCCTTTTGCAAATGGGCCAGGGGAGGTAGGGTAGTTGAGAGGTTAAAGCGTTCCCTCGTCATGCTGAAGACCCTGGTTCAAATCCCCACGTGGGCACAATGTGTGAAGCCCATATCTTGTATTCCCCGCTGTGATATTGCTGGAATATTGCTAAAAGCGACCTAAAACCATACTCACTCACTCACTGCAAATGGGCCAAACAGTTAACTGTTTGACCGAGACTGGATTAGTTGGTCAATAATAGTAACTACACCACAAGATGCCCAAATAGATTGACTTGTGACATTTTGATGAACAGTCAACTCCTATCTTATTCAGTTCCTAGTGGAGGAGTCGGTGGAGGAGAGGATGCTGCAGTTGCAGGAGAAGAAGCGCCAGTTGATGCAGGGAGCTTTTGGACAGAAGCAGACCGTGGAGCAGCGTCGACAGACCCGCATCTCCGAGATCAAGAAACTTATGGACCTGTAGGCCAGTTGGTCAGCAGCTTTGAGGAACAGAAGACTGGGACTTTTGGGAGTTTTCACACCTATGTGCTAGCCTCTGTGTCTTTTTTATGAACTGTGTCTGTATGTGTTATGATCTATGTTATGATCTGCATCTGGATGTGTTATGATCTATGTTATGGTCTGCATCTGGATGTGTTATGATCTGTGTCTGTATGTGTTATGATCTGCATCTGGATGTGTTATGATCTGCATCTGGATGTTACGATCGGCACCTGTATCTGTTATGATCTGCGCCTGTATGTGTTATGATCTGCGCCTGTATGTGTTATGATCTGCGCCTGTATGTGTTATGATCTGCATCTGGATGTGTTATGATCTGCATCTGGATGTGTTATGATCTGTGTCTGTATGTGTAATGACCGGTGCTTCTATGTATCTGTCTGTGTTATGTACGGTGCTTCTATGTATTATGATCTGCGTCTGTGTTATGATCTGCACCTGTATGTGTTATGATCTGCACCTGTATGAGTTATGATCTGTGTCTGTATGTGTTATGATCTGCACCTGTATGAGTTATGATCTGTGTCTGTATGAGTTATGATCTGCACCTGTATGTGTTATGATCTGCACCTGTATGAGTTATGATCTGTCTGTATGTGTTATGATCTGCACCTGTATGAGTTATGATCTGTCTGTATGTGTTATGATCTGTGTCTGTATGTGTTATGATCTGTGTCTGTATGAGTTATGATCTGTGTCTGTATTTGTTATGATCTGTGTCTGTGTGTGTTATGATCTGTGTCTGTATGTGTTATGATCTGTGTCTGTATGTGTTATGATCTGCACCTGTATGAGTTATGATCTGTCTGTATGTGTTATGATCTGTGTCTGTATGTGTTATGATCTGTGTCTGTATGAGTTATGATCTGTGTCTGTATTTGTTATGATCTGTGTCTGTGTGTGTTATGATCTGTGTCTGTATGTGTTATGATCTGTGTCTGTATGTGTTATGATCTGTGTCTGTATGTGTTAAGCTACGTGTTGGTGTCATGATCTCTCGTCAAGAACTTAACACCGATTCTGCTTGCGTTAGGCTCTGTTTTATGTTCTGTGTCTGTTACAATCTCTGTGTATGTGTCCGACTCTGTGTTTGTATGTGTCATGTGCTGTATCTGTTATACTGTGTCTGTCTGTTTTATGCTCCTTGTTTTTATGTATTATGTGCTGTGTCTATATGTGTTATGTTACATGTGAATGTGTTCTGTTTTGTCTTGACGTCTCTATATGAACAGTATGAAGTGAACATAAAGTTTACTGAAATTGGCAATGACATGTTGGTGATTTTATCTAGCAGTGGGTGAAAATACCATAATTCGTTTCCCTTTGCCTTGTGTACTGCCTAAGTTGTGGGGAGTGTTTGCCTGTCTGCAATATACCGACCTTGTCTACAGCTTTCAATCAAGAATCTCAGAACAGGCTGCACATTTAATGTCGAGCACTGCTGAATATATGCTCTCAACTATTAATCAGCACAAATGAGTATTTTGGATAATCGAACCCTTATAGTCTTTCTGTTCCCTGTTTCACAAAGCTCTCGTAAGCCTCAGATCTCGTAACTTTTCTCGTAGCATTCGTACCTTCTTACGATAGCTTTGTGAAACGGGCCCAGAAGTATATACATCAAAAAAAGAAAAAAGATTAGTTGATACATCAAGTCGCTATGTAAAAATATTCAATCAGTTCCCCCCAAACACACTTGAAAACCCCCACAAAACTCTTTGCATAGGTCCTTAAAAAACCTGTTTGGCACTGCCCTTCACAAATATGTAACAATTTAGTATTGGTGCCTAGAATTCTTGCAATCCCCCAACATTAGTATGTGGTTGGTTCCACAGGAAGGGTACAGAACAAGTATACTGGCATTTGTTATTGTTTGGTGCTTGTTTGTCATGATGTACGTGTTTCTTACATCCGCGTCAGTTGATGGTGCTTTGTGTTGCTTTATGTTACAAATAATAGTTTTTGTTTGTATTCAAGGTGCTCTTTCGGTTGTGTTTCTTTGTCATTTTGCTCTGTTAAACGTTCATTTGTAGTTTTGCTTTGTTCTTATTTTATCGTTTTGCAATATTGAGAGTAAATCTCAAAACTGTTTAATTTTTTTTCTTATCAAGTCAGGCATGATTGTCCTTAAATGTTCAACCAAATGGTTCTAGAAATAATTTTTTTAAGGCTCTGGGCTGTAGGCCCAATGACCTTGACACTCACAGTGACCTTCACCTGTATCTTAATATTTATCTCTTCTCGTACATATGTATTCATATCACAAATGCATCACCAGAAAAACTCCAACATATTAGATCCTCTTATCATTAATAATTGATAATGAACATGGTATCCGTTGAAACAGACACATACATTCTATATTTCACAAAGAGGACTGTCGGAAAATAATTCCCAAAGCAAATGGAAGCACATGATTTTTATGTTTCATTTTTGTTACATTAGCTCCATGTTGTCTTTTTTTTAAACTAGAGGATGGTGGGGTAGCCTAGTGGTTCGTCACGCCAAAGACCCAGGTGCGATTCCCCACAAGGGTACAATGTGTGAAGCCCATTTCTAGTGTCCCCCACTGTGATGTTGCTGGAATATTGCTAAAGGCAGCGTAGAACTACACTCTATTACCCTGAGTGTGTATGCTAAAAATATTTGACAGCAGCTTTTGTAAACTTGCTGCTGCATTTGTTGAAACATTAAACCGTTAAATGCATAGCCAGGTGAGCTACAAATCTGTGGTACTGATTTTACACACATTTATGTGACGCAACCCTGTTTAGATGAGCCAGACATTACTTGCAGAAGGCCATAGGGCCAGCTGTTGGTTGTGAGGGACCGAGAGATTTAAGCTGGAAGTAGGTGGAGAGAACAGATTGCAAATTATGCATGGAATGTCTAGTCATTAACTGATTTGTTATGCCATGTTTTATTGTATGAAACTGTTGAATAAAACATCTGACATGAACTAAGATTTTAGGTTTTTAATGATAAGCATTGACAATTCACTGATAAACATTGGTTTACCACTTGAATGTCACTGCTTAGATACTATTTAGTCACTGACAAGAACTAGGTAGACACTGATAACAGCAACCTAATCCTGTTATTCACCTTTTACCAAACAAAACGTGTTGTTGAAGACCAATAACAACAAACACTTCAAGGGAATTTGAATCGTTAACACAATATTATCACACTTTTGAAGAAAATGGTTCATTGAGTTCTGCTGTCGACAGTTTTGCCAAAACGTGATGCTGCATTATTGGATCATTTGAACATTCAATCACTGTACAAGAGTGCACCACCAAAATAGGATGATGGCTGATCCAGAGAACCAAAGACCTTCCGTGAATCACTCGTCACCACCCACACTGTGTCGCCTTTCTCAAGGTGACATACGCCTTGAGCAGACACCACAGCATCAGCTATATCAGTGTCTGTTTCCACGAAGCCAGCACCTATGGTAGTCTTTGACGACTTGGTCTGGGAATACCGAACGATGTACAGGTACATAGAACTGCCGGTATCAGCCATCTCCAGCTGGGTCCAGAATATGTAACTGCCAGAGACTGGTGCTGTGAATTTCCCCGAGGAGGAGCTGTAGGCATGCCCAGCATCATGGAGGACGTGGGGAAACTTGAAAGGAGCAAGAGCCACTGTGTCTGTTAGCAGTCCAGAGTTGGCAAGAACAGCTTGAAAGGAAACGTCTCCAACAGCTGGAAGAAGATTGTCATATTAATCTGCTACAGCTTCAAGGCGACGTTACTCTCCTTCAATTGCTTGGTCACGTAAGCCTCATACAGCTGCAATAAGGGCGCTTTACTGTCTAGAAGCTGCCAGGTCACGTGAAACTAAATAAACTTCAAGGTCACATAAGTCTGCCAGAGTGAGTGAGTGAGTTTAGTTTTACGCCACACTCAGCAATTTCCAGCTATATGACGGCGGTCTGCAAATAATCAAGTCTGGACCAGACAATCCAGTGACCAACAGCATGAGCAACGATCTGCGCAATTGGGTATAGTCTGCCAGAAGAAGGTCAGGTTAGAGTTCGACACATCCAGCAGCTGCCGAGATAAAATTATGCTAGTCTCCTATAGCAGTAATTAGGTCAAATTAGTCTCTTACAACTGTAAGGAGGTCATGTTAGTCTCAAAATGTTGCTAGAAGGTCACGCTAGTCTCAAGGAGGTCATGTTAGTCTCTTGCAGCTGTGTGTGTGTGTGTGTGGGGGTCATGTGTTTAGCCTAGCAGTTAAAGTTAAAGCAGTCTAGTTAAAGTTAGACCTGGGTTCGATTCCCCACATGGGTACAATGTGTGAAGCCCATTTCTGGTGTCCCCCGCCATGATATTGCTGAAATATTGCTGAGAGCAGCATAAAACTAAACTTAATCACTCTCTTACAGCTGTAAGGAGGTCATCATGTTAGTCTCCAACTGCTGCTGGAAGGTCACGCCAGTCTCTTTCAGCTGTAAGGAGGTCATGTTAGTCTCTAAATGCTGCTAGAAGGTCATGCCAGTCTCTTGCAGCTGTAAGGAGGTCATGTTAGTCACTAAATGCTGCTAGGTCACGCTAGTCTCTTGCAGCTGTAAGGAGGTCATGTTAGTCTAAAACTGCTGCTAGAAGGTCACGCTAGTCTCTTGCAGCTGTAAGGAGGTCATGTTAGTCTAAAACTGCTGCTAGAAGGTCACACTAGTCTCTTGCAGCTGTAAGGAGGTCATGTTAGTCACTAAATGCTGCTAGGTCACGCTAGTCTCTTGCAGCTGTAAGGAGGTCATGTTAGTCTAAAACTGCTACTAGAAGGTCACGCTAGTCTCTTGCAGCTGTAAGGAGGTCATGTTAGTCTAAAACTGCTGCTAGAAGGTCACGCTAGTCTCTTGCAGCTGTAAGGAGGTCATGTTAGTCTCTAAATGCTGCTAGAAGGTCACGCTAGTCTCTTGCAGCTGTAAGGAGGTCATGTTAGTCTCTAAATGCTGCTAGGTCACGCTAGTCTCTTGCAGCTGTAAGGAGGTCATGTTAGTCTCTAAATGCTGCTAGGTCACGCTAGTCTCTTGCAGCTGTAAGGAGGTCATGTTAGTCTCTTAATGCTGCTAGAAGGTCACGCTAGTCTCTTGCAGCTGTAAGGAGGTCATGTTAGTCTAGGCATGTTATTTACCTCAACTATGATCATTGCTAAACCTTTCCAATTCAAGGACTTCATATTGTAACCAATCTCACCTGTTTTGAAAGACCCGTTTCTTAAAGTATTAGTATTCTCACGGAGCTGCATGGTGATATTCGACACGTCATGCAACAAACCATTAATTTGGTCCTCTCTTCCACTGTTATCTGATAACAGTTTTGCAATATCCATGGTGACCAACCTCATGTCGTTCGTTATGCTGTTGACTTGAACCGATGTTGCATTGACGTCGTTCTTGAGCAGCCCTAACAGCTTCGATGTGTTCTGTGCAAGAACCTTGGCCAAGTGGTCTGTTAACGAATCCAGTGTCTGTTGGTTCAAAATGTTTTGCAGCAGAGCGAAGGTATTCTTGCTGCTGTCACACGACTGATTGTTCACAGTGGATTCTAGGACACTGAGTCGATTGTTTAACATGTGGACGTCGTTTAACAACAGACTTAGTTGGATCGTGTTTGCCTTAATGTCATGAGTAATAAGGTGTTTCCCAGTCAGATTATCGTGAGTTTGAAGATCCACGCTGTTTTCGCTTAGGTGTTTCAACTGTTCTTTCAACGACGCCATTTCCGCAGCTGAAGATGCCTGTTCGTCCTGAAGCTTTATTTGAGTGTCCTGAAGCTGGACCTTGGTTTCGTGAAGTTCCAACTGAAGCTGGGATGTCGTGTTCTTCAAACTGGCTACAGTTTCCTCCAGCTGATTGACATGATTGAGGACAACAGACATCGCATCCGTATCAGGTTGTTTTTCGGTAGAAAGGAGAAAACACGATATTTGGCTCAAAACTGCTGATATGTAGATAATGACTACGTTCATTGTAAGTCAATAAAGGCCTTCCAAGTGTGCATGTAGCTACAGAGATCTGCCGCCTAATCTAGGTACTCGGTGGCAGGTGATAGTCAGGTTACATTTCACATGACATAAGTGGCGATAACGACTTTATATGTCAATACATATGAGGGTAATTCTGATAATACTACAACTGGGTCATGTCCATTTCTGAAAGGATAGTGACGTTATAAGAAAGGTACATATGGATTATATTCTTGCACTGATGCTCTTTATTCGGAGTTGTGTCGAATGGATTAAAACATGTCTATTTCCTTTATTCAATAAATGGTAGTTCTGGATAATTTCAGGAATCTAGTGTTTCCAAATGTATGTAATAAAAGCAGCATGTTGCAACTGCGGACTAAGGCGACAGCTAACAACTTTATATACGGATAATGAATTCAGTTCAGTGGAATTTCACAAATGTAATTTTGCTTTCTTCTGCAGTCTTCATCATTCCACTTGTATGCCTGGTTCCTCAAAAGGTCCATGCACTTCCCATCTCCACTGGGCTCTCCGGTTCCCCACTGCATCGGCATGATGGCGGTGTTGTCATGCCAACGCCATGTCTCGGCATCAGGCATAACTCGGGCTCCTATCCAAAATGCATCTACAATAGACAATGAAAAGAAAATCACCAAATGAATTTAAAACGTAAACGAGACTTACCTGGAAGGTGAAGTTTAATTATAATTCCACCGATGAATGGAGTATTGAGGGACTACGTGAGATGTGAACATGCGCCGAGTAATCAGTCTTTAAAGTTGAAATTTGATTCCTTGTGCCAAAAGGTGTTGGGTGGAGGGCACGTAACCCTTCAATACTCCATACATCGTAGGAATGATACTAGGCGTCATCAATAAAGGGTCAAATGATATATAGCACATGCAAAGAAAAATTCACTCCATGAGAACTTGCATTCATTTGGCAAATCACTCCAGCTAAATCTCTGATAGTCAATCGGGTAGCTTTCAGCTGGTCATTGTACATCATTTTAATTGTTTCCATCTTCTCCAAACTCAGGGGGGTCGGGGTAGCCTAATGGTTAAAGCGTTGGCTCGTCACGCCCAAGACCCCGGGTTCAAGTCCCCACATGAGCACAATGTGTGAAGCCCATTTCTGGTGTCCCCTGCCGTGATGTTGCTGGAATATTGCTAAAAGCCGCGTAAAACCAAACTCAGTCAGTCCAAACTCAGATTAACTGCCATGTTGCTACTATCAATAACGAAGTCGAAATAAGTAATCACTTTGGTGGGTAGTATAACTGATTTTAATGGGTGCACTGTAAATCACAGTTCACGTTGTCTGAACACTAATTATAAGATTCCACATCCCTACTCCCTACTCCATACTGAAGTATCCCATGAGATGCGTATGCGTCAGTAGCGATTGTGCATTTGAGGGAAGTTGACGAGAAGTTGGTTAATTAGGGAAAAAGTGAATGTAACTGTGGATTTATTACTGTGATCAATTCAATGGAATACTGGATTTTGTTGTTTTCATAATATGGACTGGATATAGGGTGAGTACGAACATTGTCACGAACTAATTAGATGAATTTTCTTGGATTTTGTGTTGTGATCACGTACCCGAGTCGGGGTCAGAGTTCAAGATGGCAGAACAGCAAGATCAATGCAAAACTAGCGAAATGAGTTCGCACATGCAAAACCGCCCAGGTTTGTTTGAAAAATGTTCGGGACATTGTAGCCCAGGCAGCACCACGAGTGCAATTGAGAGATAATGATGAGAACTCTCAGGATGGGAATAAAGGTACATCGAGTGAGTTTGACTCGGTGCCGACCAGCCAAACCAATGGCGTGTCTAAACATAGAACCAGCACATCGGCAGCAGGCACGAGGGCAGTGGAGGTCAACACAGCGACTGGTCAGTCGGCCGGGCGGCAGTTATATATTCTGAATGACATTGGGGATTTCATGAAAGCCATTCTGACGAGTGCCTCAAAAAAACACTGTTGTGGCACAAACTGATGTTCGAAACCTGACGTGCCACATGCTGGAAACGGTGCTGATGAGAAAGGGTACAAAGATATCTCTTCTGACAGTGATACTGACCCAATGGATGCGGTCATGAGGGACCTCGATAAGCAAGAGGTGAATGACGGCAGTGATGGAGATGATGATGATGACTTTGCTAAAGGTCTATTAACTGATTTACAGGCCTTTGTTAGTGCAAGCGAAGAGACCAGTGAAAAAATAAGGCCTTCGTTTGCTGAGTCCCTAAACCAAAGGTTACAAAAAATGGCGAACCAAAAGAAGCTAAAGGAAGTGGCAGACAGGTATAAACGGCCTGAGAACTGTGAGTTTTTGCTTACACCAAGAGTGAACCAGGACAGTTACAGGCTGAGCCTTACAGTAAGAACAGAGACACAAAATGGCAAAGTATAGAGAATGTGGTAGTGAAGGCATTGATGCCTATGATTCAGGTCACAAATGATCTCATGGTGGCTGCCATTGACAAGGGTCGAGTCAATGTCAAAGATCTCTTAAAGAAGAGCACAGACAGCATTAAGCTGATGGCGGCATCTATCATTATAATGAATCAAAGACGCCAGGAAAACTTTCGACCTGATTTGAAAGGGGCTTACAAGAGACTATGTTCAGCCCCGCTTCCGACTTCAAATTAGCTCTTTGGAGATGATCTTTCGAAACACATCAAGGACATCTCTGAATCATCTATGATTGGACAAAACATTGGACACCCTCCGAAAACCCAAATTTTACAACCATTCCAGGCCTCATCCACGCAAGAACTGGAAGGCAAACAGAGAGGGTAGGAACCGCCCCTCAGGCAGCCAGCAGCACCATTCCAAAGCCTTTAACCATGGTGAGCCGCAATATTTTTTTAGGAAAGAAGAAGGGCGGAGTAGACAAGAGATTCTAGGAGGCAAGAAGAGTGTTGAGGTGAGAGAGTCTAAGTCTACGGATATCAATCTAAACTTAATTAATGAAGATCAAAAAGGATTCCTTGCTAATAGATATATTGGTGAATGCACAAGACTGATATATGGCAAATGGATTAGACAGAAACTATGGAAATTCCTGGAATGTTACTACTGATCGATTTTGAAAAGCATTTGACTCCGTAGACTGGAACTTTATTCAAGAGGTTTTTGCGTTTTTTTAATTTTGGGGAATCTATAAGAAAATGGATCAAGACATCATATTGTAATATAAGTTCATCAGTATTAGTAAATGGCTTTGGTTCTGACTTCTTTAAAATAACTAGAGGCTGTAGACAAGGAGATCCCCTTCTGCCTTATATCTTCATTATATGCGCTGAAATTTTATCCGCAATGATTCAAAACAATCCAAAAGTAAAAGGTATAACAATTGGAATATTTAGTCTCCCAGTTTGCAGATGAAACATCCCTTGTCTTAGATGGTACTGAGAAGTGTCTACAAAATGCCTTACAAAAATTGGACGACTATGCTTCCTTTTCCGGTCAGAGCATGAATGCAAGCAAAACAAGAATCATTTGGATAGGATCTCTCAGAGGATCAGCCAATACTTTGTGAAAATCTGTTAAGGTCCAAAGCTGATTTTGGTATTCTCGGTATTGTATTCTCTCTAAACCTAACTGAGATGGTTGAAAAGAACTATAAAGACAAACTTAAAAAAATAAAAATAAAAATGCAAATATGGACAGGTCGAAACCTTACACCCCTGGGTAGGATTACAATCCTGAAATCATTAATTCTGCCAACAATAAACCACTTATTTTCCTCCCTACCAAACCTATCAAATGACATTATTAATGACCTAGAAAAACTATGTTTCTCCTTTGTATGGTATAACAAACCTGATAAGATTATACGTGATATCATAAAACAAAAATATGAGGAGGGCGGTTTAAGAATGCCCGACATAAAACAGACTATCAATGCTAAAAAAATTGCATGGCTTGAAAGAATATTTTTAAAAGACTCTAAATTGACTGCCATCTTTTCCTACAATGTTTCACTAAACATAGAAAATATGCTGCTAAAGGGAGAAACATTTATAAAACAAAGAGTTATAAATAAAAAAAAACAACTGTTTTTGGAAAGACGCACTTTTAGCCTGGGGTTTCTATACGTCATTTAAAAATAAAAAGTTGTTCACGGCAATGATATTCTACTGCAATGTTTATGGCACAATGAACAAATCCTCTTGAATAAAAAACATTCGTGTACCAACACAACGCTAAAATAGGTTTAACATATGTAAATGACTTCATAGATACTGATGGAACAATCTATACATATCAAAAGTTTCATGACCAAAGTAGAAACCACTTAAAAACGAACTTCTTAGAATATGCAAGCGTAGTAAGAGCAGTCAAACAATATTATAAAACATACAACCTACCATTTGGAGAAAAACTTGAATTACCATTTATTCCTTATTACATACAAGACATCTTTAAAACTAAGAAGGGCCGTAGGACATATTATGATATACTTATTCCAATTTCAGACTCTGCTATGTATAGCTATAAAAAGAAATGGGAAGATGAACTTGAAACAGATATAAGTGAAAAAGAATGGAAATCCTAACAAAAGTATACATTTCGAGCTCATACGAACTCAGACTTTAGATGGTTCCAATATTCTTTAGTGTATAGAATCTTGTCAATAAACCTATTTTGTGTACGATGGGGTATGTAGAGAGTAAGTTATGATCATTTTGTAAAAATGCACCAGAAAGCGGAATTCATCTCTTTCACGACTGTCCAAAATCTAAAAACATATGGAATCAATTTTCTAATTGGATAAGACCAAAAACAGATATCACATTGAATATCGATAAGAAGAAAATCATATTTGGATTCTCTGAAAAAAGGAAGGATGTCCTTAATCTCCTGATAACAGTTGCCAAATTTACTCTTTCTAAAATACGAACATATACTTGTACACAAAGCTTCGATATGGTCAGAAATGAAATAAGTAAAGTTTTCATCAATTGTTTCATTAATACTAACATACAACCGACCCATTTTCCTGCAATGCCATTTGTTATAATAGGCTTGCCAAACTCTGTATACAGACGCATGGTTATATTTGACTGATATTTGATGTCATGGTTTTGTACCTAAAAAAAAGATGAATAAAAAAAAGGAACATACCACAGAAAAAACACACCAAAAAACAAAACAAATTTGACTAATACACCTAATTCGTTCCAAGCTGGGAATACTAGCAAGTATGTGTTTGTGTGGAGTGGCATTACTAGTGATATCTGGGTGCCGAAAAGTGTGAAAGGTGTAAATATTGATTTTCCTACCTTACCTGTGCAATATTTTGTTCCAAATCCAATTAAATTTCCATCAGCAGAAAAGGTGGTGGTCAATGAACAGATTCAGAAAATGTTATGTAATGGAACCATTGAGAGGTGTGAACACTCACAAGGGGAATTTATGTCTTATATTTTTTCACAGACCAAAAAAGGATGGATAATTGCGATTGATTCTAAATCTGAGGACATTAAATGATAAAATTGAACACCAACACTTCAAAATGGATACCTTGCAATCTGCTCTTTACCTGGTAAAGAAAGATTGTTATTTTGCATCAGTGGATCTTAAAGATGCCTACTTTACTATTCCTGTATATGATGCAGATAGAACGTAGAAGGATACAGTGTCTTTACTGGATACGCTAGGGTTTACAGTGCATCCAAAGAAGTATGTTCTCTCACCATGCAAGCAAATCACTTACTTCTGCTTTGATCTTAACAGTGAAACTATGACCGTCAACTTGACGTCGGATAAGTGTGAAAAGTTAGCTTCATACTGTGAGAAAATGTTAAGTGAAGAAAGTGTGACAATTAGGCAATTGGCTACATTAGTGGGACAAATGAATGCAGCATGTCCTGGTTTGAAATTTCATTGATGATGCAGATTGGAAACCTGATAAGGGTGTGTTTAATGCAATAGTCGAACAGTTTGGCAGGCCATGTATTAATCTATTTGCCAGTAGGATACATTGCGAGATCTCTCCTTATGTGTCTTGGTACCCTGATCCAGATTGTGTACAATATTTGTTTTGTCCATTCAGTCTACTTGGCCGAGTACTGAAAAAGATCGACAACGACTGTGCGGATGTCATTCTAATAGCAACTTTGTGGCCCACACAATTCTGGTTCACCAGAATCATGGAACTGTTGATAGACTGTCCCCGACTCCTACCAAAGAGCAAGAAACTCCTGCCTCTCACCCATCTACCCAACAAGATTCATCCGCTGTGGAACAAACAGCGGCTGACAGCTTTCAAACTGTCAGGAGATCACTCCAAAGTCAAGGCTTATCGACAGATGCTAACAACATCATATTGCAATCATGTAGAGGTTCCACTAAGATACAATACAAGTCATATCACAAAAGATGGATGCAATTTTGTGCTAAGGAACATTGCAATACCGTTTCACCAACTATCAGCCAGGTTTTGAATTTCTTAACTGAGGTATACCACAGTGGGCTTGAATACTCAGCGTTAAACACGGCCAGATCTGCTCTGTATACCTTTGTGTTGGTTGACGGAATTGCAGTTGGACAGCATCACCTAGTCAAGAGACTATTGAAAGGAATATTCAATTTGAGACCTGCTCTGCCCAGATATGGGGCGACCTGGGATGTTTCTAAAGTGCTGACATATTTTCAGACTAAGTCAGCTGATTGTGCCAGTTGGAAATGGATGACTCTGATGTCTGTAACTTTGTTAGCTCTTTTTGGTCTCAAATTGAATGTCCCTTTCAATAGCCTCTTGACTAGGTGATGTTCGACTGCTACTCCGTCAACAAACACAAAGGTAGCCAGAGCAGATCTGGCCGTGTTTAACGCTGAGTGTCCAAGTGAACTGTGATATAGCTCAGTTAAGAAAATCAAAACCTTGGCCCTGTTTCACAAAGCTCTGGAAAGCCTAAGATCTCGTAACTTTTCTCGTAGCATTCGTCCCCCCTATGTTACAGTCGACAATAAAATGAGAAGGATCGGTTGAGCGATGAGAAACAAAGAAAGTAAAAATGCAAGCCTAACTGAAATCAGTTGTAAAAAATAATAATTTGGATCAAGGCAACTGTCATGATCAAGTTTAACTGCCCCATCTGGAATGTTTGCAGTTGTTCCACTGACAAAGGCGTCATAATTATATAAAAAAAGACAACATTGTATTGAAGCAAGACTGTATACATTGTTTGATCAAAGAACTTTGTTTAAAGGTCATTCCAAATAACTTCTATCGAATTAAATGCCTGTGCATTTACTGGGAAAGAAATCCGCCATGGACCATGCATCAATGCCGTTAACTTATGTCTTGCTGACAGGACTCAAGAACTGCTAGAACATATAAAGATGTACATATATATCATCCCTGCCTAGATATTGACCATCAGCGGAACGTGAGTGTGGCGTAAAACTAAACTCACACACTCAAAACATGGATCACAATTCGAGAGCACCTCCTGTCAATTTGGATCACAACTATACATCTTTTATGCTGTCGAAACATCTGCATAAGAGACAGAAATGGGATAACAGCAGCCCTTTGAAAATAAAAATGCGGGCCTAACTGAAAACAGAATTAAAAAATAAAAATAACTATGATCAAGGCAACGGTCATTCAAGTTCAACTGCCCCATCTAAGATGTTTGCAGTTGTTCCACTGACGAAGGCGTCCAAGTAATAAAACTACATCGTATGGAAGCAAGACTGTATACATTGGTTGATCAAAGAATTTTTATCGAATTAATGGCCTGTGTATCTACCAGGAACCATGCAACAACTCATGACTTGCAGATAGAACTCAAGAACTGCTGGAACATATAAATATGTACATGCTGTGCGCGGTGTTAAACAACAAGCAAGCAAACTAAACCGATCAACGCTCTACGACAAATGGGTATAATGATTCACATTCATCTCAATTAGACATTGAAATTACCAGACTTATCCTTCCACTGACTTTTAACCAGAACTGCCACAATTTAAATAGTGGAACCAAAGAAATAATTCTGTTAAAAATCATACTTAAGGATTTGTCATTCAGAAGAGCTCTCAGTTTGTCATTTTTGCTGGCGGTGTCCAGTTTGATTAGATGTCCCTGGTTGATGGAGCAGCTTCCCTCAGCATCAGCCCAGTTCTTTGGTACGTTTGTTACAATCCTGTAGCACATGTCAGTGCCAACATCCCATGTGTAGCCAGGTGTGGATGCACATAGCCCTGACAAAGAGAACATAACATGTGCTAACCTATCAGAGATCAGTGTCATTACATGCAGTGGGGCGTGGTGGGCGAGCTGTCTAAGGAGAGCATAACATGTGCTAACCTATCAGAGATCAGTGTGTTTACATGCAGTATTTCATATATATTAGTTCTGACACGTCCTTAAGTAATGGTGTCGAACAAACTAAGGCATAAAAAACGCATATACCAATGATAAGAAAACAGCTTGGCACCTGGTTAAAGTACAAAGCCATATGGTTATCCTATACAGTTTCACCCAATAATATTCCCTAAAATTCCTCAGTCCCCACTAGTGTGACACAAGGTGAATCCACATGAAAATGGTATGATCACATTTAAACATAATATTGACCTGGAACATTGTGACTTGACATTTTATCAGAATAAAAATCCAGTCTTTTTTAGGTATTATGAACAATATAAACGTTAACGTCAGTCGACTGTACCTATGTGATTGCGACACGTGTTTCCGTCAAGGCGATGTCCAACGTCACACCAACAGGAACCCTCGTGGCAGTGGGCATGGGACAGTGACATGCAGTCCACATCCAGTTCACAGTCAGATCCAACAGTAGCCAAAGCTGAAAGAGTGGTAGTAATTTACTACTCTTCTTCTTCTAATGTTTTAAACTTGGATACTTCCTGTGCATTCTGATTCGATTAATCGCATTGTTCCAACATGAAAGCTAACAACGGAAATCTTAGTATTTCCATTTGTTATGATATTCAGATAATAAGGGGCTTATTTTTGTCGGTAATATATACAGATGAAACTTAATGAAGCACCCCTAACATATTTTAAGTTACTGCCTTACCTAATGATACATCTTGAATAGTAACGATGACTAATATTTGAACTGCATTCCCTTTCAATATTGTTTAAGGGTTTTGCTAAATCAATCGTCAAACACATCCCAATATGCACTTGAAGAACTCGACCCACTATTATCTCAAAAAGCACTATTAACTCAATGGGGCTAGCTGTGTAAAACGCCAAAAAGTTTTAATGATTTTACCAGTATCTGTTACAATGGCACGAAGGAGACTGCCAGAAGCGTGAAGAGGGCAAATTATTGGAATGCACGACAACGGGATGTCATTCAAGGCTATTGGGCGACAGCTTGACATTCACCACACGTCATAAGTCGACTTGTTCAAAAACACCGTCAAACGAACAAGGCTATGGACTGACCAAGGCCAGGTCAATCCCGAAAGACGTCTCATGTTGGTTTAGTCTCTATTCGCCTACATCTCAATTCGCCTACATCCCATTTCGCATACAAAAATTTGTATTAGAAAATGCACCCCTACTCTTATAATGAACCTTACTCACTGGTCAGTGCCATACTAATTAGGCGATGAATTTCATTATTATTTGTTTTGCTCTCACTTTATAAATGCAAGAGTTAAATATTTAAAGCCATATTTTCATTCCAAACCAAATTTTCATAAAATCTATACATTATTCAATAACAATAAGACAGGTATTCTTAGAAAACTCTGTCTATTCTGTAATATTATCATACATGTTTTTAAGAATCTTCGGTAAGAATACTCCATCTACATATTTCTATTTTCTTTATGCAATGTATTTGCAGATAGATTTGCAATCTATCTATCTATCTATCTATCTATCTATCTATCTATCTATCTATCTATCTATCTATCTATCTATCTATCTATCTATCTATCTATCTATCTATCTATCTATCTATCTATCTATCTATCTATCTATCTATCATGGATATGTAGTTGAGTAAAGAGGATTGGTGCATTGGCTAAGAAGTTCAAACAAGGTCATACAAGAATTATAAAAGTTGAGGATCGGGATTTAGCAAGCATTGTGAGACGTCAGCCTTTCACTACAAATGGCGTCCTGAAGCACATATGGCTCCCCAACTACTGTCTGAGCAATAGGACTGTAAGAAACCGCAAAAAGGCACATGGGATGAGAGCAAGAAGGGTGATCAAGCGTCCAGCCTTGACTAATCTTCACAAGAGAGCTCATTTGGAATGGTGTTTACCCCGACGTCATTGGAATTTGACGTGCATTGGTCGCATGAGAGTCACATTTTATTGCACGTCACAGACGGGCGCCAGCGAGTCTGGAGGACCAAGTGAGTGAGTGAGTTTAGTGCACTCAGCATTATTCCAGCTATATGGCGGCGGTCTGTCAATAATCGAGTCTGGACAAGACAACCCAGTGATCAACAGCATGATCATCGATCTGCGCAATTGGGAACCAAACCAGCGAGCCTGACCACCCGTTAGTCGCCTCGCACGACAAGCATGGGTTGCTGAAGGTTCATTCTAACCCGGACCTTCACGGGTCCCTCTAGGACCAAGAACAGTGCCTATGAGCCTGTTCTTGTGCCACATTTTGATCACCACCCATTTGATACTCGCCCTGTATTTATGGATGACAACGCCCGACTATATCGTGTGACAGTTTTTTTCAAAGAACGCTGTAACCAAACTTCCAAGGCCTGCTATGAGACCGGATCTGAACCCATTGGAGCCTGTCTGGGGCATTCCTGGACGCCGAGTGCAAGCACTGGATCCGCCTGTACAAGATCTTGCATGTTTGGAAACAGCTTTGCGCCGGGTGCGAATCCGGAGACAAGCATGAGGAGGAGGGTCAAAGCAGTCATCCGTGCACAAGGTCGGTATGCACGCTTTTCATTTGTTGTCTGAAGATGACAGAGAACATTTACAGACTGAGAGACACTCACCTCTGCCAATTTGGCACTCTGCAGCCCCATAGTTGTTGAGGGATCCATTTTGTTGACAAAGCATCGTTGACGTTTTCATGTCATTTTGTAAATTAACATATTGTAACTTTTCATGGTTCTGTTGTTATTGTTTAGTCCAAAATGTCAACTTTCAGGAAACAATGGCGTTTAAGCTTTCGAGTATACATATATACATACTAATGGTAATAGTTGCTCAGTTTCATGGCAAGATGAAAACATCGGAGGGGGTGGTGGGGGGTACTATGGCCTGCTCAAATGCCTGGTTAAAAACTTTGGATTGAGTTTGATGAGTGAGTAAGTTAACGTTTATAATCACAGTTTATAGATATGATTTAATAATAAATACACCAAAACCTTGTCGAAGGACAGTAAAACCGACTAGCATATCTCAGTATCAAGAATTAACACCTGCATCTATCTCTAAAATAGGATTATAAATTAGGACAATGCAATATAAAAACGGGCTGAGTATCGCCAACAACTGAAGGTAGATCACCATACTAGGGACAATGGGGACTTTCAGTGCCTTTGCTACCTGCATGGACCCAAGCTGGATTGATGTTAATTAGATTTTCCTGACTTATATTAGCTGAAATGATTCCTTTTCTTGACAGTAATCCATATATTCAGGTAATAAGTGCCTTTTTTTACGGTAATGAATATCTACTGTCTGCTCATATACCTGGTTCAAAATATAGATTGATGATTTCTTGCAGACATTAAAAACCTGAAATAATTCCTTTTCTTGACAATACACTTTATGATGACTCTGCAAATCATGAGATCCCCTTTAATGTTCACAGGAAAGTAAGATAAACGTGAATAATCAAAACGCTTTTAGTAATGATGCCAAGCACGTTTCCACTTTTTGAGCTATGGCTAACTTGAACTCAGTGAATGGAATATAATATCAACAAGCGCTTAGGCCAGATCTAGTGAATATAAATCTTATGTCAGTGATGGATACACCCATTATTATATTCTATTAATTAACGTTATGATATTGCCGTTTCTTCAGCACTGAAAAGTAAAAAACCCGCATCTTCAGGTACATCATGTCCTGCAACACATGACATTTTGCAGAGGTGGTAGGTCAAAATATATTTTACACATACATACACATACATAGTAAGATTTGTATAGCGCCGATATCCAGCTCAGCTGCTCAAAGGCGCTTTGTTTTTCCCTCGATCACTGGATGTCAACCTCAACGGCACATCGTATTATCAATCTCAACTCCCTGGGGATCATACAACTCTTGCATTTACTAGGCACACCGAATTAATGTGGCTTTCACATCCTTACAAGGTACTCATTCACAGTTGGGTGGATTGGGTGGGACGCATGGTCACAGTACTTTGTCGAAGTTTACTGCACGTTGCTGTACCCGCAACTAGGTGTTTGCACGTATTCATGTGGCCACTATCTGGTCATATACCAACGGATTCGTGGGTTCTTTTAAGTGCACAGGGTTGTGTACTGTACACTAGGGGTTGTGACAACACTGACAGAGTCTGCACACACAGTTGACTCCAAGGTTTTTATACCCGGTCACAGGTGGGCTCGATCCCGTCACCTCAAGCTCGCTGGATCACTAGCCTGGCGCCTTAGCCATTTTCCCCAGATATGGAGAATTTGGTAACAGTAAAGGAAAGAGGGAGGGAGTTAAGATTTAGAGTCACATCGGAAATATCGCAGCCATATCGTGACTAAAACAATATACACTTTAGAAATACGTGTGCTTCTGCTGTAAAAATAGAGCTGTTATCTGGCAATCTAGAAGATATTGTTCTGGATCCAGTGGCAGCTACACAAGCTACTGCGCCACCATCCTTAGACACATCTGTAACTACGGGTTTGTATGCATCATATTTACTTCTTGATTGATTAAACTCTTGTTTATTTTGTAATTCATTAGTTTCTGAGTTTCTGTGGAAATGGCGCCAAACTAATGGACATTGTTATATTATTATTATTATTATTATTAATTATCGACCAGTATCAATGACAAGCTGTGTTTGCAAAACCATGGAATGCATGCTCGATAATCGATTAGTTTGCTACTTGAAAATTGTAAAATCATTTGGTTTCGTAAAAACAGAAAAAAACATTGATCATTCAGCGAGATTAGAATCAATGCCACAATTAAAAAAATAAACAGCATGCAGTATATCTCTTTTCGATCTAGAAAAAGCATACGACAGTACATGGAAATATAGCATGTTAAAAGATTTACATGATTTTGGATTGAGTTTCCGTTTGCCTCATTCATATCCAGCACTGTGACAGGCAGTTTGAAGTCCAAGTGAGTTCAACCCTGTCTGATCATTATAGTCTGGATGAGGGTGTCCCACGAGGCAGTAGTTTGTCTGTCGCATTGTTTAGTATTAAGATCAACAGTTTATCAAAGGTTTAAATGATTCAATTTATTAATAAGATTACATTTTGTGGATGATTAATACTATTTCTTCACGCGGTAAAAATATGCATGCTATTGAACGGCACCTGCAGTTGTGTTTAGACAAAAGGAAATGGTGTCTTGAAAACAGCTTTAAATTTTCTGAATCAAAAACAAATTGCATGCATAAAGACCCAGAACTGATTTTTAAATGGCACTTCCATCAAAGTTGTCAAGAAGGCAAAGGTCCTGGGTCTAATATTCGACTCCCATTTAACTTTTCTTCCGTATATCAAATACCTAAACAATAAACGCCTGAATGCATTTGACTTATTGAAAGTCGTTTCTAATTCTAAATGGGGAGGATACCAAACTACCCTCCTATACCTATACAGATCACTACCCTCCTGTACCTACACAGATCACTACCCTCCTGTACCTACACAGATCATTACCCTCCTATACCTATACAGATCACTACCCTCCTGTACCTAAACAGATCACTACCCTCCTATACCTATACAGATCACTACCCTCCTGTACCTATACAGATCACTACCCTCCTATACCTATACAGATCACTACCCTCCTATACCTATACAGATCACTACCCTCCTGTACCTATACAGATCACTACCCTCCTATACCTATACAGATCACTACCCTCCTATACCTATACAGATCACTACCCTCCTGTACCTATACAGATCACTACCCTCCTATACTTATACAGATCACTACCCTCCTATACCTATACAGATCACTACCCTCCTATACCTATACAGATCACTACCCTCCTATACCTATACAGATCACTACCCTCCTGTACCTATACAGATCACTACCCTCCTATACCTATACAGATCACTACCCTCCTATACCTATACAGATCACTACCCTCCTATACCTATACAGATCACTAATCCGATCATAACTGGATTACGGCTCCATTGTATATGGTGGAGTCTGCAAATACAACCTAAAACTATTAGATTCTGTCCATCACCAAGGTCTAAGACTTTGACTTGGATCTTTTAGAACGACTCCTGTTGACAGTCTCTACACCGAGGCCGATGAGCCACCCCTTACCCAACGCCCTGTAACATTAGCCTTACAGTATATCACAAAAGTATACTCGAACGAATCTAACCCTGCATTTGACGGTGTCTTTAATCCTTCTTATGAGGATCTGTACAACAAGAAGTCCGCCTTTAGGAATAAGAATCCAACCATTCATTTCTGCTGCTGGCATTGAGCTGGAACATGAAAGTCCTTCCCATCTTCTTTCTTCTCCTCCTTGCCAATTGGTAAGGCCCCAAGTCGACCGTACTATGACTACATTCAAAAGTCAGAAACTAATGAATTACAAAATAAACAAGAATTCAATCAATTAAATAGTGAATATGATGCATTCAAATCCGTATTTACAGATGTGTCTAAGGATGGTGGCGCAGATAATTTGAAGGATCCCTGTGATCTTATCCAGGTTAGGCATTTCAACAACAATAGCTTTACGCCATGAAGTGGGAAATAATACCGATGTCCAAACATTTTTTAACAGTGTTTCTAAAACATGTTTCAGGTAAATGTTTCAGGAGATGATAGTGTATGCTGTCGTCACCTGTAGTTGTATCGAGGGGATGCGCAAGGGCGGAATGGAGTTCATGAACACAGAGAATATTTCATTATAATCTTCCCCGTTATCTGAACTGAAATTAATAGTTTTCTTTTCCTGGTGTTTTTGTTATGTTTGGCATTCAGTTACATAATTATAGGAGGAAGAGTGTTTAGCAAGAGCCATCTATGTTTGCCATATCCATTGTGTATAGTTATTATCCCGAAGTTGCGGGGATATAGAAACGAGTTCCGTCCGTCCGTGCGTCCGTCACTCTTTGTCCGAAGCACATCTCCTAAACTATTGGAGATAACTTAACCAAACTTGGTACACATGTCAACCATGATCCCAAGATGTGCCTTTTGGTGTGTGTGTGAGTGTGAGTGAGTGTGAGTGAGTGTGTGTGTGTGAGTGTGAGTGAGTGTGTGAGTGTGAGTGAGTGTGTGAGTGTGAGTGTGAGTGAGAGAGAGAGAGAGAGAGAGAGAGTGTGTGTGTGTGTGTGTGTGTGTGTGTGTGTGTGTGTGTGTGTGTGTGTGTGTGTGTGTGTGTGTGTGTGTGAGACCCAGATGCAAAAATTATTTTTTGCGGTCTCCATGGAAACATGACTTAGGCTGTGGCTATGAGGATGTCATCTTGTCCGGAGCAGATCTCCAAAACTACACATGCTAGTTTCATCAAACTTGGTACATATGTCAAGCATGATCCCTAGATTTGCTTTTGGGGGTTTAGACCCAAATATGAATTTTATTTTTTGTGGTTTCCATGGAAACGTGACTTAGGCTGTGACTATGAGGATGCCATCTTGTTGCATTTCCATGGCAACAAGTTAGGCTTCAACCTAGATTTGGTGGTAGTGCTCCTCTCTGGAGCAGATCTTAAAACCTTTCAATTCTCTCCTTCCATTGTGCTGTATACACTCCAAACATTTGACATAATCATAACTAGTAGACATATTTATAAAGAGTATTTTGCCGTTGCGGGGGGTATTGATGACTTTGTCTTCTTGTTATATACTGTATTAAGTGGTTTG